CTCGGCCCTGAAAGCCTAGGCGAGCTTTCTTCAAACATTTCGTGGCATTGATACAAACAACAAAATAAAAATTTATTGAACTCTGATAAATTATTTTTTAGTTGAGCTCGGCCTCATCTAAATCTTCGTCTATTTCAATACAATTATTCCTCCAGCATCAATTCTCCTAATGTAGAAACAATTATTTCGTAAGAAAGGAAAATGTCATAAGAGATCAACAAGCGATCTTGTAGAGAGCATACCAGAATCTAGAAAAAAATCTCCGACTACAGAGCGACCAAGTTGAAAAATCAGATATTTCTCACACTATTATCAAAAATCCAATGAAGACGCGCGTACGCAAAAATTTTGTTGGTAACGGGGTTTACCTTTGAAATTTATACCGAAAAAGTCGAATGATCATTTCCATACATCTTCTCTCAAGATGTGATACCTGTAATTAATAATCCTTCATTATCAGTCACTGATCGACGAAAAACCTGGTACTAAATAGAAACTAAGCGCCTCTCTTAGCTAGGATGAACTTGTTTGATATCAACAGGAGTCATCAAAAACTTTCTTCAACACAATTCTAGAAGAAAAACAGACTTTATTATTTGAAACACTCAACAAATTAACAATCGTTTCAAAACAAAACAAATAACAAAAAATTCTCTTTAGGTAAGAGTGCTTTCATTTCTAATATATTCTCCTAAATCAGCTTGATGCAATACAACGATAGCGGTAGGATCTGACTGTTTGCTTTCAACTGTGCCCTTGGAAGCTACTCCAAATCTGTAAAAACAATGTAAACCTAGCGAGCAAGTAAAAATTTTCTACCCTAGAGGAGTGTCGTTCATGCTGTATACAACTATACCAGCTTTCATTGGTGTACCTTCAGTCATTCTACCAACACCAGATTTAAGAATATTATTTCCGTATAAAAACTGTTGCTCAGCGTTTGGTTTCAACCATACTCGATACTAGAAAAAGTTGTCTTGAATAACAGGAATGAAACTCACTTTTGCATAAGGAGCCAAATAATCAAGAGCAGTTATATGTAGATGGAACTTCTTTGTTTTCGTAAATTTTCCTAAACATGTACCGAAAGATAACAACGGCTCTCTTGCAATACAATTGGCTTGCTTCATCAAATTTTCAGAACAATAATATACTCTTTCCTTAACATAAATTATATTATAATTAACCAATTGATATCACCTTATGGTTTCTAAAGCAATAATCACCATCTGATCTTTCCAGAAGTAGAGCAACATTGTCTCCAATGAATTTAGCTAGTTTTTCGAAAACCAGTTCAGTCTCTTCATCTGTTAAAGGCCTCATTCTGAAATTGACTCAAATAATATTTCATAACATGCCAATATAGAGCAAAAACAGATTAACTCGGAGAAGCACAAAGGTTGTAAACCTCTTTAGTGGTCTATAGACGAGACCGATATAAACTGTATTACACGTATAAGACAACTTATAATAAGATACCCGCAATATAACGGAAAATAAAGCATAATTACAGGAAATAAGTTAATAGACGAAATCAAACAGATAAATGTTTCACTTGCTCAATCATGCCGTTGCTTGAAATTGCTGATCGAGCTGTTTTAGCGTCAACCTGAAAACACATACGCAAATATTATATTTTGCAAGTCACGTCACCTGTAATCTAATTTGGCCATTCTTTGCTACGGTAATGAAGGATTGGCTTTCCAGTGTTTGGAATGCAGTGGATAAATCATCGCTATCTAACTCCGGTATGTTAGTTAGCTCACAAGCCTTGGAGTACGATCGGAAGAGCTCATTGACTGTCAGTGGAGTCTTGAAACAAAGAAAGTTTGGAACAATATGAGCTAGAGCTAACCTTTTTGTTCGTAGACATCGTAAGACAAACTGCTAAGAGAAGCTCTGATTGAAGTGGTAGCTTCGCTTTACTAATGGGGGATGAATAAACATTGCCTAATACACCTAAAACTTCTCGTACACCAGTTGTTGGTAAAGAATTGCCAGACAGAGCATTAGCAGCAATTTTATTCCTAAAGCAATTACATTTGTATTGTTTCTGCTAAACCCACTTTGATTGTTTGAAAACAAGTAATGCTGTCCGCAAATCACCAGACATGGCTGCAACTTTCCTAGCACACAGCTCAATTGCTTTAGGATCCAGCTTGTTCTAAACATTAATTTCTTCTAATGTTATTTCTATGAGCAAAACCTCGTCATTTTTCATCCTGTCTTCAAGAATAGAAGCTATGTTTTCTTGAGTATAAGGTGTGAACAGAATACGCTTTGGAGCTTGAACCAATTTAAGCTTTGGAAGAACTCGTTCTGTGAGATCGATAGAATTGGCAATTCCTTGATTACTCAAATAATACAATTCTCAATATTTCTACGAACCTATAAGAATGAGCTTCGAAGATAATTCAAAAGGCCATTTGAATGCAGCATAGAGAACACTGTTAGATCCCGTGGATAAGTGATCTACTTCATCCAAAATAAGAATAAGAGGCCGTTTTAGAGATTCGAGACATTTAATTAATCCGGAAGCAGTAGCAGCCTCATCCGACTAGAAAATTGTATGAATTGAGAAACGGGAAAAATCTACCTTGCAAGCAGATAAAATAGCCCGGATTAAATCTTTTTGAGTTTTTGTTGTAACACAATTCACATGGGCCGACAAGCACTGTTTTTTAAACAGTTGTAACACTAATGAGGTTGTAGCTGTTTTACCTAAAGAAACTGAAATGAGCTCGTGTGGTATTATTGATGAACCTGTTCCAGGGGGTCCACTTATATATACTGAAAGAGGTGTCTTTTCGATTAAGGTTGAACTTATCCAATTTTTCAAACTCTCGAACTCCGCTTCCCTGTTCTTTAAAGGTTTGATAGTATCATCTATGGCAGTCAATAAAAAATAGAAGAACAGAAAAGTGCCTACCTTTCACAGGTGTTTTATTTATTTGAGATGCGGTTTTTCCGGCTTCAAAGTCACCAAGTTCATCACTGAATTCATCTTCGCTATCGCTGGAACTTGAAAATACTAAAGGTGCAGGTTTCGTTCTTTCGATCAAGCTTTTCCGCACTCTACAACGAAAATGATATTTATCACGGTTCTTAGTCCTAAAAACCTTAATTTTGCTATAGGTGTTCTTTTATTCTCTTTGGTGGCCGATTTCTTAGCGGATTGCTCCCTCTGATTCTTAGTAGTGGAACGTTCAGCAGTCGAAGTTTTACTTGTAGTTTGCCTTCTTGGAGTTCTCCGTTGAGCAGTAGCAGATCTAGTTAACCTCGGCGAATCCATGGAATGTAATGTTGGTGAAGCACGAATTTGAATTTAGCTCTCTCCCATTTAATTGCGTCGCAACATCTGGGCGGGACCTTTAACGACACAGTCCTTTAACTTGATAATAGCGTGTGGTTATATATTAAATTTACCGAGAATAAACGCAAGAAAGAATGATTATATGAAACAATACTTTGGAGATTAGAAGTTAAGCGAATCAGGAAACATACTTGAATATACAAGATAGTTAGAATTTGAACAGTTACTTGACAAATTAATACTAATGATACGTTTGCTATGATCATGATTATCTATCATTACTCAAGAAAATACGTGGGAGTCTAAACTCCTCATGAACATAGTTGAAAAAAGACATATTACACATCCAACTCCCAGCATCATTGGTATATTTTCGTCGATATACGGAAGTGGTTACGTATATTTCTTTAGACTACAGTTCTTTCTGCGTTTCAGTGAAAATCGATAAGGGAGAATTGTATATGGGATGCTAGTAAGCTACTTGAATCACTTATGTGACACTAACTTCGTTTCGAATAGACGTTCAAGTAATTCAGTTGAGCTGAAACTTTGTGGAAGCTATGTTTCATATATCTCCATTCCGTATTATAAATCTTGTTACGCAAATATTCTTCTCCTTCAATGGCGATAAGAGAAAGTTGAGTTATTAAAATAGAGGGGAATCAACCATGAAACATCATTGAAGTATTTTTTACTATCACTAAGGCTGATAGAAGCTGTTTGAAATTAAGATGTTGTAGCGGACAGAAAAAAACAGCAAAATCTAGAAAATTACAGAGGAATGAATAAACAAGTTCAGTTTTGAAGGTAAATAAACGAATTCCTATTTATGCACTTCAGGATTAACAAACAACAACTATTTTCTCCAAAACTGAGATATTTCGTATAAATTTCGTCATAATTAATATTGTCCCAATAGCAAATAATATCTATAATTAGAAGTTATGATCATGACTTTTATGAAGAATCAGATCAAACAATGAGTCGTTAAAGAACTTTTTTACAAAAAAATTTGTTAAAGGCCAGCTGGTTAGATATTTGAAGACATAGGAAGATTCCCAAAAATGGCACTTCTTCGAACCAGTTTACAGGAAGAGATCAGAATGCACTTCATCCAGTTCTGTTGGATTTCAATGATATGTAAAAACAAAATTCGTCATTACGAGACTTCTTGAGGCCTATTACTAACACTGAGAACGCACAAGAATTTTGTTAAAGTTAGCCATTCAATAAATACATGTTACCACCATAACTCCAATCAGCCTTATAATAATATCTTTGAGAATTCATAGAAAACTACATTTGAAATACAAATTAGTCTCTCATCACATAAGTTACAAGTAGGCAAGTGTCTTCAACAAAAACTTCTTGTTAGTTCCAGTCAACTCTAATCACTCTTATTTCGAACACAAATGGAAATATTAAATTGTATTTTGGAAATACTCTACATGAGATACGATTCAACGTAATTGTTCAAATATCCTCCTCAAGATAAAGCTTCATCCTAACTATCGGATTGATAACCCCTGTATGAAATGAACCAGACCCGCCCTAACGCTTAGCCAGTCGGGTGGTTAGACAGCTAGAGACCGGTGAGAGACGCAGAGAGAGGCGGGAGTTGGTCTGGGCAACACGCCAACACACACCAAGTGAACTTATCGATCGAGCGGTCAGCCGGCGGATGAAGCGCAAGCTGAGTAACGACGGAATACTGATATGGCAAGGAAAGGACAAGAAGATCGACGAATCCCAAGTCGGTGAGCACCAGGGACCTGGATCATTCGACTATGATCTGTAAGTTTAACAATTTGAACTTAATTCTTCCGTTTATTGCATTTTTTTGATTACTGTAGTTTGCCGTTGGCTCAATGCCAAAGCTTTAATTAGTATTAAGCTTCTGGTAAAAATTTTGATCAAGTTAAATATCATATAATTCATAAAAAACAAAGCCTTAAAATATCGAATCTTCTTCTTCTTCCTTTCTTATTATCCACTGACATGAACCTATTCAGCGTAATTATGTTATCCAACGTATGCCCTATGGGTCGCTTACGATATCAGTGTCCGGCGTTGCCTTTAAGAACAAGATCGACTCCGGAGTTCAGCTTGGTGTTAGATTTGGTAAGAATTGTCTGAGATGCACTATGAAAATAGAGTTTCAGGATGAAACATTGGTTCACTGCAGTCTCAACCCATTACCTGATGCATCTATCATATTCCCTGTTCATTTCCAAAATAACACCTATCAAGTAAAAAATCTTCAACAAATACTGAGAATCAACTTTTTTTCAGGTGTACGTTCGAATAAGACCCCATTTACTCACTTTTTTGGAACGCTTAGCGGAAAAGTACGAAATTATTTTATTTACGGCAAGCAAAAGAATATATGCTGATAAATTAATGGTTTGACAGTAGTTACGGACGAAAATGATAGAATCTTTTCAGAACCTTCTTGATCCCAAAAAAAGGCTAGTTAGGCATAGGCTTTTTCGTGAACATTGCGTATATGTTTACGGAAACTACATCAAAGACTTGTCTATACTTGGAAGAGATTTAAGCCGAACTGTAATAATAGACAATGCCCCCCAATCCTTTGCCTATCAAATTGACAACGGCATTCCTATTGAGAGTTGGTTTCAAGAAAAAGATGATACTGAGCTATTAAAACTACTCCCCTTACTAGAAAGCATTCCTAATGAGGTACGGAGTTTAACTCCTTATCTACTCAACAAGAACATTTCAGAGACGAGACGTACGTGAAATATTAAGAGAAAAGTATGGAATTCGTGACTTGTTAGCGAATCAAGCCGAGTATCGCCCGTCCAGCCCTCTATGCACATCAGCGTAATACCGTTTACTCCACGCTGTTAATGTTTTCACGATTGTTTTCCTGCCAATTGCTTAGTTAATTTTGAAAATTTTTACAAACCGAGTGATGTTAAATCTCATAACCATATATAAGCAGCGTTTTCAGATGACCTCAAGAACATATACAACACAGAGATTATACTCTTTTGTTTTATCTGTATATAACTCACTGATGGAACATACCTCAATTGCAACTGCAAATGTACCAATAAAATGTAAATAATTGTTGACGTTTTAAAAATTATAAAATAATAAAATTTCGTAATAAATGGCTTACTTTGCGCACGAGGTTATTCAAAAATACCATCTAGTATTTTTCAAACATGCTATAAAATAGAAATGCGAAAAAAGAGTGAAAACAATATGAACGTAACGCAACCTCTGAAGTTCTAAACTTACTTCGAGTTCTAACCTGTAGAGATCTTCATTAAACCGTTAAATATAAACACATTTATAGAAATCGTGGCAAGACTAATTATTAGCCATAGCGCACGGTTCTGGCAGGTCACTAATAATCCACGTGTATTTGCATTTTTCTATAGTTGATAAAAATTACAAAAATTTAGAACCATTCCTCATGCTCTCTCTTTCCTCAATGCAAATACCTGAAACTGTTTTTATTTGTTACAATTGTTCCAGAATGCCTTACTAACTGAAAACTTTGTTATAGTTCACTGTACTATCCACTATCACTGTTACCATAACAAATCTCATCTTGTTCATCAAGGAGGTCACTCTTGCTGAACTATTCGATTTCTCAACTATTCCGGTTATCCACTGACCCCATTTGGTCTTCGACATGGCCTTCAAAGCAGTAGTTTTAGTCGGAGGACCGCAGAAAGGTGCGTTCTGTCTTCAATTTTCTTTTGAGTTAAAATACTCACCTCACTATGATTGTGGCAGTTGGATTTCTGCTTTCGATTTACGCTTTCTTTTTAATCCTTCCTATTATTATAATGGTGTTTGCTGTCCAAAGTTATCCACTTAGATTTTGATGCTAGGTTTGTAGTAAAAGAATTGCTTTATTCCTGAAGCAGGAAATTTCTCAAGTTACATGTAGCATATATAAGCATTTTAGGTACTCGCTTCCGTCCACTCTCTTTACAATGTCCGAAACCATTCTTCCCAATAGCAGGAGTCCCTCTTGTAGAACATCACATAGATCTTTTGAGCCAGGTACTCCCAGTTTTTTGTAGTTTTGAGAAACATTTTTTAGCTTCCTGGTTTATCTGAAATTCTAATTATCGGTTTTTATAACTCCAATGAATTTACTGAGTTTATTGATAGATGTCAGAAAGTATACCGAATATCGATAAAGTATCTACAAGAGTCTCAGCCTTTAGGTTTGTCATATCAATGTAAAAAACTGTAGAGATTTGTTAAGGGACGGGTGGTGGTTTGGTACATTTTCGTGATGTGCTTCTTGCTGGGAATCCTGAAGCTATTTTCGTTTTTAACGTGGATGTGTGCGGGGATTTACCCGTGGCGAAAATGTGTGACCGCATGAAATCTTTACCCGAATCGAGCGTGCTTTTGTTGACAACTGAGGCTACTAGAGAACAGAGCATAAACTTCGGATCTGTTAGATAACTTACAAGCTCTCAAGTTGATGCAAAAATTTATAGGTAGTGGTTGACAGTGAAGGAAAAGTTCTGCATTATGTTAACAAGCCCGATACATTTGTTTCAACATACATATCCTGCGGGGTATATCTGTTCAAAACGGATGTCCTTAAGGTTCATTACCGAATCAAGAAGAAAAAAAGTTGCGGAGTTTTAGAATTTGTGTGGTGACAGTCAGACCGGTAGCTTGTGGCTTGAGAAAGATCTTTTCCCTCAGCTGGCCTCTTCTGAAAAGTTATTCACCCTGCACACGAATACATGGTGGAGTCAAACCAAAACTCCTGCGTAAGAGAGACTGATCGAAACGAAGCTCAAAAATTTTGTATTTAGTGCTGTTCTTTACGCGAATAGACATTATCTACGACTATATAACAAGCGATATGCTGCAAGATTATGTAGAGGCGGAGCAGATATAATAGGCGACGTTTTCATTGATCCCAGTGCAAAAGTAGGCTGCATGCAATAATCCCATTATCTTGAGGTTCAGGTTGATCCATCTGCCAGAATTGGGCCGAATGTTAGTATTGGTCCACAAGCCAAAATAGGAAAAGGCGTCCGAATCAAGGTACTAACCGCTTGCTAGTGATTTCAAATGTCGATCTCCAGGAGTCTATTATCCTATCCGGAGCAGTTATTCATGAACATGCATGTGTATTGCACTCGGTCATAGGGTGGAGATCAGAAGTTGGAGAGTGGGCTAGAATAGAAGGTATTCCATTAGCTCCTAATCCAAACGTACCTTTTGCAAAAGTAAGATTGACTGTAGCAATCCATAATTGAGAGAATTCTTTCAGCTTGAAAATAAGCCTCTTTTCCTCTCAGATGGTAGGTTGACTCCATCGGTCACTGTTGTTGCCAATGATGTCAGCATAGCACCAGAAACTATAATTTTAAACTGCGTTGTTTTGCCATTCAAGGAACTCACTTGTAGCTACAAAAATCAGATAATTCTTTAATTGATGAAACATGGGTCTCGGGATGATCTATTGGACTATTTATGACACTTGGGCCACTAATAAATCGATATTCGACTAATATTCGAATTTAATCGAGTAACAACGTCATACAACTATCTGAATCAACAGCACGAGAAGATGCTGGGAGAATTTAGTGAATTAACATTTGAATTATACAATTGAAAAATTTCCCATTTCGTCAACAAAAAAGTTGAAAGTGTCATTGGGTCCTACCACGATTCTTAAAAAGGTATCCTCAATAGAGTAGCATAATAATAGAGTCGAAACAAGAGTTATCAAATGCTTAATCTAAAGGAAGTTGCTTGATCAAGTTTCTTACTACTACAACTCATTACTTTGCTCAGTGGATTTGAGAGTCCGGGAGAATTCTACCGCATCTTTCAAATAATTTGTTGTTCTGAAAAATTGTAGGTCCGTCACCGCTGCGGAGGCTAAAACATTGGATGAACAAAGTTGAAGTTCAAATGAAAAATGCTGCTCGTTGACAACAGATGTCTTAAAAATTTCAAATTTCAAAAATTGTTTCATGGCTATTACGACCATTGCATCCGATATGCAAAGAAATAACATGATAGTATTTATTAGCGAGCTGGATTTGAGGATCAAATCCATTAATGAAACGATTTGTGAATAAAATGGTGAGTACTTGAATAAAACCGAAGAGTATGGTGATATCAATTAGTATATCGAACTTTCATGTACAACTACCTTAACGAATGAACTATTAAGTATACGAGCATCAAGAGAAGAATTGGCTCAGTTGATTTGCTAGAGATCTTGGAATAGAAGGAAGTATTTGTTGTAATTTGGCAGAAGCATTATAGCCATGTTTTAAATAATGATTGTGCATACTTGAAAAAGACGGGAATGCAGAAGCAACTGTTTTTGCTTTAGTCGTTGACATTCCGGGACAGACCTGTAATTCGAAACATAAATAGTACCCGATAATTAAATCATACTGTCAGTTGCTTTGTCCACACATCTTGTACAGTTTGAACTTGAGTCTTTTTCGAGATATCTTGAAGATCTTCAAATTTTATCCCGAACAACTGAGAACATCATATAAACAGCTAATCATGGTGCATTATACTCACCTCTTCTTTCACAGATCTTTCAATCAACTTTCTGGTGAGAATGGCTAAGAAGTTGGCAGTTTGAAGCCCAGATTCACAACGTTGAATCATAAAATCATCCCTTATCATAGTGGTGGCGATAGCCTGAAAAAAAAAAGAAAATTATGAAATGAAAAGTGAAACTGTTTTACCTGTTCGCATGGAACATCTCCTCTGCCTCGACCTTCAATTAAATAAACTCGATTCTTCATTGGAGCTTTGCAAATTCTTTGTTTCTGCTCATCGTACCTTCCCTTGAACAACGACAATAATTTTTATAGATCTTAGTACAGTCAACCTTCCTAATACTTGATTTTAAATCATCCCATGTTTTCCTTTCAACAACCCAATCAAGTACTAACTCTGAACCGTCAATTAACCGAGCAACCCATAAGTAATCACCGACAGATAGTGAACGCAGCTCAAACTGAAAGAAAGTTTAAGAAAAACAATCAAAAATTCCATAGTTACTCTGATATCAGACTTCGTTAACTGCTCAACAACTGTTTTTCCTCTTTTATTTCCGTGATGCTCTCTGTTATCGCATATCAATATTATCTTGAAGAACTCAATGTTCAGGATAAACAATTATGTCAAACCTCAGGTTGTTGAAATGGTTGGCAACTAAGATATTCGATGCTATTAGATTCAGATCTTATAGATGACACAGACTCTTGAGAATATGGAATCTGTTGTCATAAAGATGTAGCGATAATCTTAATTTATTACCTGAGGAGCAGTTATAGGAGCGACTACATCTTCTATCGTTTCATGATCGTTATGGACGAAACAATCAAAGTCACTAATAATCTTGGAAGCACGCGGTTGTGCAGGAGCCTGGAAAGAACTAGGAAATTGGGAGAAAGAATAGACTTTAACAAAACCACTATTTTTTCAGAATAATCGTCTTCACAAGCACGGCTTTTCTTCGTGGCGATCGAAGGAGAGTTGACTTTCCGTTTATTTCCCTTTTGAAGAACCAGCTTCTGATAATCTTCTAAAACCAAGTTTTGAGATATATTTGTTAGTCTAATAACCATTTGAAAGCTCTTTCACTTCTTTTAAAGATAAGTTTTCTGTGCAACGCTCCTCACAAATAGTAGACCAAGCATTGGCACATTTCAAAGCGATAACATCCCCAATACCTGCAACTGATCATTAGAGGACACAGTGCATACAGTACCATTCAATCGTTTGAGAGAAGATATTCCTTCAACTTCCAGAGGGTAATGTTTCAAACTATGTATGGCTTTGTAAATTGTGCATTTTTGATTTCTGTCCTCACTTATATCTCGCCAAACGGACAAAAACTTCTCATAGAAAAGCTTCTGCTTATGTTCTATTTTTATTTTAACTCTTTTCTCAGCCATCTGCAAAAATTGATGAAAGTCTTGAGCATATGATGTGGACGAAATAGGGAGGAAAAGTACCAGGAGTCTGTCATAATTCATTTTACAACAATTTATAAACAGTATAATGTATTATTCTATGCAGAGCACAGTTGGTTAATAAAAGGAAGAACAATTAAGAATCATTAGGCAGATGAAAAACTTCTTAAGAACGAGATCGGCAAGCAGTAAATATTACTCCCTAATCCTAACCTATTTAAAGTAATGTTATTTGAATTTGGACCGTATGAAAAAAACGTGACAAAAATATTCAAAATGGCAAGGAAATCACTGTACTGTAAAACACACCTATACAAACACACGGGTCTTCCACCGAATACTATATGATAGGATATTAATAAAAAAAATAACAATATTACTTAGTAACCAAACAAACAAATTGAGAAAAATGGACATCAAGTGAAAAAGTAATGAGATTCAATAAAATGACTAGGAAAATACTTCAAAACCTTTCCAAAGATCCTTCGCGCCATCGGAGCATTTCCGGTGCATAAACGCCTTAGTGTAATTATGAACCTGCGAATGGAAGAGGATTATCTGGTATGTGGATGTACAATCTTACTTTCTTTCGGATTAGATCGTTGAACTTCAAGTCAGAATCAGGCTTACTACTCTCACGTTTATACATCTCTTTAGCTACCTACCAGAGGAAAGTTGAAAAATTTTTTCCCATTTTCAACTTACTTGTTTTATGAGCCATAGTCTACGATTAGCATCCGCAGAAGGAATCCCTTTCAAGAATGAGTCAATTATGGGCTTAACTTCCCTTTCAACCGTAAGTTTAAATACCTAAATGAGAACTTCATCACTGGAAAAAAATCAGAAACAGACCCGAATACGTTTCTGTTTTTCGTCTTCTGACAAATCACTCAGAATTTCTACACTACCCGTGGTTTGAGGAACCTCTTCCACTTTATTTTCTGTACCTCCAGGAGGTGAGGAGAATATTTCAATAGCGCGTGCAGCAATGTCCATTTGACACTTAGGTTCCTTAATAGAGGTTGAAAAAAGAATTGAATGCATTGAAACCTCATCTTCCTTCATGGATGAGTCGGGCTGTTGCGTCTGCGTATAAGGAACAGCATCATTTTCATCGCAGTGTTCTCCTTCAGGAAGCTCCCAGCACGTCGCTCTAGTTTCCTATAAGGGATGGATAGCGTGAGGTATAGCGTGTTTGCCAAAATTACCTTATGATAATAGTATACAGTTCCATCAGCATCTAGAGCCCTAGCGTAAGTAGATCTCCTTTTTTCGGGTGGAGGAGGAGGAGCCGATTGAGAAGAATGTACTGAATCAGGTTCATTCCTTGTTGCTTCCCTCGCTAATGCAGCAGCGGCAGCCTAAATGGGTAACCATTATGCTGATAATTCAGAAAAATATTACTGCTGCTGCAGCAGCTTCTTGGTGAGCTTTCGCTAGAGCAGCCTCAGCTTCTTTCTTCTTGATGGCAACATCTAGATACTTGATCTCCATTTCATAGGACGTACGGAAATGCCTTAGAAAGTTATTCATACATATATTTTTGTTTAAAAAGTTACTTCAACTGTTCCAGCCTCATGGACATATAATATCCTATTTTCTTGTCGGAATCAGACATGTTCGCCTTCTGAGCTGAAAATGTCATCATAGGATATGGTGCTGGATATGCACCCATGCTCATATAAGACTGCCACATTGCTATAAATTTGAAAGTTAGAATATGCGAATCAAATCGAACTATAACCCATGTTCTGATGATATGATTCAAAAGATGAAGAATGAGTAGAAGATTGGGCAGAAGATAGCACGTTTTTCATGGCCTAAACAAAACTGTTTTTCAATATCACCGAATTAGACTCACTGCTTTGGTAGGAGACAATGAGGAATCAATAGACATTGAAGTAACCGGAGAATCGGTGGAACCTGAGTTCTCGGCATTGACGGCCAAAGCGAGCGGTGAATGAACCTAAACCATTTAATTTATGAATGTGGGGAGTAAACTTTACTGGAGATTGATCGAAACGAGATCGGCGTGTTCTCTTGAAGTCGTTCCTGTAGGTCCCATCCTGAAAAAAAGGGTGAAAAGGTACCAAGTCAAAGTTTTTCGAACCCTATTGGAGCTTTTTTCATCATCACGACGATATCGATCATCTAAAGTGAAGCATTATTGAAACGTATTAAAATAAAAATGCCAACCATATCTTCTTTTCATGCCTCTATCTAAATCACGTTTACCATTATAGCCAGGAAAACCTTGTCTGAATTGGATACGTTGGTCAATTTTGTCCCTGCTCGCATCAATTTTTTCCGCTACTGGTTCCTTACTCTCCACAGTTTTTTCTCGGACCTGTTCGTAAAATCCTTGGAGAGAATTGAAAGGAAATAATACCTTTTTAGGAATTTTGAAGACCTTCAATCCCGTTGTTTCTACTCCTTTCTTGATGTTTTCGTCACCGGCCAAACGCGAAGCTATCTCGGTCATCTCATTGAAAACTAATCCAGTATAACTCTAGAAAGGTTCATGAAGTAAGACTGAGGTGAATATTACTTACCGCAAGATTTCCGTCTCCTTCCGCCTCTGGATCATCCCCGCAAACTTTCTCTACTACTTGCTCCAAAGTATCGACACAAGCAATATCATCAGGAAGTATTCCTTTGGCTAGTTCACAAAGAATAGGAAAATTTTCTTGATTCCATCCCTTGAAACTTGTTGATCAATTATCTCTGTTCCTCTATCTTACCACAGCCTTCTCAATGAAATTATCTTTGTCTTTTTCTTCAATCATTCTCAGAACTCCAATTTTCAAATCCAGATCGTGCCGTTCCCAACCAGATGTGCTAACCCATTGAAGAAGAATATTAAATAGATTGTTTCTCTTCATTCCTTGGTAGAACTCAGAGTCCTTCAAAAAAATTGGGTTAAGAACGAATCTACGGAACTTACAGCTCTCTCTATGAGACTCTGCATACGAATCCTGTTCTCCGTAGTCAGGACATTAGCCTGAACATATAAGAATGAAATAGCTTCGTAGAAGTAGTAACAAACCAAATATTTGACGAATCTAGCGGCATTCTTAGCAAGCTGCTTTCTTCCATAATATCCTTCTGAATGAATAGTGTTAAGATAGAAGATTGCTTTGGCTTCCAGTTGTTCCTCCTTCTCAATTCTTAATTGCTCACGCTGAAGAAATATATGAGTGATATGGATGGTTTCGAATATTTTACTTCTTTCTCTTCTTCAGGCTCTTCAACATCGTCGAACTCTTCACTATCCTCATCGTAGACTTCCTCATCATCGAAATCACCGAGATCCGGTTTCTTCCCGATAACACCTTTACAGTTCGCAGAGCCACAATGACAACTTTGAGCTGTTCGCCTTTAATGTATTAATACAGATTAGCATTGACTTTTTGAACGAACCCGTAGTTACAGAACTGATAGTCAAACGTGATCTCATCCCCGATGGCAATATCAGTCTTAGCAAAAAATCCGATTCTACTGACATCTCTTGGTGTTTTCGGAACTGCCCACTATGAGAGATATTATGAAACGAGGTATTATGAAACTGAATCAAATTACCTTAAGGCAGATGGCATTAGGGTCACAAGAATGGTTGATAAAGCGAGATGAGTTTCCTTTAACAGTAGCATCAATCAGTTTCTGTCCAAGTTCAAAAATATAATGATGTGTATGATTGGGATCTTTGGCATATCTGATGACAATATACTATTATAATAAAAGAAGTTCTCTCAAACTTCTTCTGTCTACTGGCAAACTCTTCATTAGTAACAACTTCACCAATATACTCAGTAATGAACGTTCCCCTATAAAGACATCGTTAGGTATACATTTTCAAGTTCAAAGATACTTAGGGATAACTTCCAGAGCCCGAACACCCCATCCTTTATTGGGACCTGTGTAAAAAGGTTTCACGTTGGCATATTGTCTCTAAAATCATGGTCGATAATGAAACTACTAATAATAGAGAAAATACCAGAGCAAATCGTCTGTTTTTACACTGCGGACCACACTTTGATGAGCATTCGAACATCATTTCGCGATTTATACACCGATTGTCAGAGCAATCAAGATTGTTTTTCCGACAATCACAGCTTAATAACCATCGTTTTAAATAAGAAAACTGTGTCACAATTACTCTAAATCTGTTTCCAGTCTTCTCTTCTTGCCATTTTTAGAAACTTTTTCATCCATATAAATCAGAGTCTCGATCTCTTCAAATTTGGGGAACGGAGGTTCCTCGACCACAACTTCATCTATTTGCTCTTCCACTTCTAAAAGAGAGAATTTATTAGTAAAGGAGAAATGGGCTTACCTGGCATCATTGACTCTTCCATCTTTTCAACTACCTTTTCCACAGGGTTCGTATCTTCATTGGGCAAATGGGGCTTGAAAATATCAATAGTAATTATATGCTAAATTGGAGTACTACCTCTCTAACAGGAGATCGACTATAATTCCTCTTTTTGTATCTATCATTGAATCCTCCATATCCTCCCTTATAATGATTCCTTCTATCCGACCATGGACTCCTGCTATTTCGTCGATACCCACCACCCCGGTTATTGCGAAAAGATCTATAACCTCGGTGCCACCTTCGAGGACTCTTCTGCCGGTATCCGCGAGGACTTCTGCTACGATATCTTCTGGGAGAGCGACTTCTGCTTCGGCTTCTTCCACGTCGTCGACTTCTTGAACGGCTTCTACTATGAGATGTTCTACTCCTGGAGTAGCTCCTGCTACGAGATCTTCCATAACTTCTACTGCGAGATCGGGATCGAGACCTAGACTTTGATCGATACCGCGATCTACTACGTGAACGCGTTCGAGAACGGCTACGTGATCTTGAATAGGACTTTTTCCTTCTCGGGCTCCGACTACGACTTCTGTCTTGCTTCATTTTAGTTTGTGAAGCAGGTACAGAGGGAACTCCTAACAACTCGGAAGGATCTACAGTATAATCGGGCTTCACCTCCGAAATTGAGTTGGATACCAATAGTTCATGTTCAGAGAGAGCAGTAGAATGATTCCTCTCAGTTTGTGCAATTTTTGGTGATTGAATTGAATGAGATGGAGGTAAAGATGCCTTTTTGAAAACCTCATTAATGGAACTCACTACGACTGTATCAGCAGATTTAAGGACTACAGGTGAGGCTACTTCGACTTCCGTCTTTTCAGGTTCCTCAGCGTTCTTTTCGATGTGTTCATCAGCTGATAACAAAAGTTCTTCATTCTTCTCGGCAGCAGATTCTTTCTTCTTCTTATCACGAACTAGAGACTTGAGAACACCTTGTATCCTATTACGAGACTGGAAAGCAGTAAGAATGAGAACATTCTAAAAACTAAACAAACCCTCTCTTCAGACAACTTCTGAGCTTCAGCATTAGGTCTCATAACTGCAGTGTACTGAACACGTTGAAAGGCATCGTAGTGATCCATAAAAGCTTTGTAGCGGTCGATCCGAGGCAAAGGCACCCGATTAAATGTGTAGTACTGGTGAATTTGATACCATTTATGAACTGATTCAGATATGTATTGAGTAAGCTGTTGGGTGTACTCAACACCAAAATCACCGGCATGTAAAGACATGTAAAACTGACTCAGATCCATGTTAGGAGGCATCGTTGGAGGAGGAGGGAAATAAAAATCATCGGCGTAGGACTCTTCCGCGGGAGGAGGAGGAACATCGTTCGCTACAGGTGGAGGTGGTGGCCTTACTTCGGATGCAGAGGGATTCGAAAACGATACTGGAGCAGCAACAGGATCTTGCTTTACATTTATTATAGGTTCAACAGATGCTTCTCTTGAATCGTCAGAAACCTCCATATCCATCTATGATTAAAACCATTTGTTCGAAAATTAGAAATATAACCAACCTCCTGGGTTCCCGTAATATCCGAGTTAGGGTCATTGTAGAAGTTTGTCGCATCAATATTGGCGGTAGTTGTAGTTTGGTTCTTTAAAAATCACGTATTTTTAGGAAAAAATATCACTCTTACTGTGGTCAAAGATTGCATAGAGTTCGCAGTATCTTCTCCACTTTCCGCGTTTGTCTAAAAAAAAGTTATTGAGGGGAATAGGTTTTGATATTCACCTGAATGAGCTCCTTTTCAACATCCTTCATTGAGCATGTAAGTTTTTCTTCTTGTATGTCTAAGTGCATATCGAGAACTTCCTCTGCGGGCGGGACATGAGAACAGCCAGCAGATAGATCGTCCGGAGCTTGTTTTATTAATTTTGAACTTGCAAGAAGCTTAAAAACAGTAACATAAAGGATAAAGATTTTATAAAAATTCTTACCTCTTCTTCTTCAACGGAACCACTACGTTCTGTTTCATTTTTCTCACAAAATTCTTCATCCTGAAAGCGATCATCTTTTGGTTAAGCAGATTATAAACTATACAAGCACCTGTTCTGCATGTGAGCTCCCAAAACTTTCATCTATTGAGATTGTGGGAATCTGAAAAAAAAAATATTTGAGTGAAATTGATACTTTTTTACTTGTTCTGATTCTGAACTGACTGAAATAGCTTCGAGTGACTTCATTTCACAACAAGCCGTAGATTGTTGGATTGATTGACTCTGTAATATGAATTATGTAGAAAAGAAAGCGTATCAACCGAGTTACATCTAGAGAGAGCTGTGGTAAACGCTTTTTCTCGCTGGATTCTGTCTGCAAGAATTCTCGTGAATAAGAAAACGACAAGATTGAGCTTTACCTCAGGACTTTCTAATTTGACTTCATTATACATCGGTACTATCACATCACTTCCGAATTGCTAGAATGAAATGTAAGAAAAAAGAGAAAACATCATCATACTTCAGGGGAATGTGGAGCCAGTGCGGTAGAAGAGGAAACAATTGTTATCTAAATGTTGGAAATAAGAGCAATCAACGAATAACGATCTCACCATTTCAGAACTGTCAGGAGTGCTTGAGCGAAAAGAAGTAGCGATTTTCTAAGAGAAAATTTAATAACACTCTAGTTTCTAGAAAAAACATACTATTTGGCTGCTTGTTGGTTGATTGATGTCTTCCGTAGTACTCTGAATCACTGTTTGTAATAGAAATACCAAAGCATTTTACCTCTGGGGTCTCTATTTTTACTACAGCTAAACCTGTGTCCATAAAACTTGATACACTGCTAGGCTCGATGTCTGTTGAACTCAAAATAGGAATCTCGGTATCCTCCAAAGTAGGAGACTTAAGTTGCTGACATACTTTTAATAAAATTGGAAACCGTTACCTCTTCTTTCATGGAGGTTTGTCCCATAGAACTGTCTTCTTCCTGTCTCTAAAACACATACTTTAGCTTTCCTAGCTTTGTCTACTCACCTCAGAAGTTCCAGCAGCTATATCTGATGAAACTTCAAAAGGTTTTGGCGCAGTTGAGTCTGTTAACGACGTTAACTGAAACAAATGAGTTGAAGAAGTGAAGCAAGCCTCACCTCTGTAGAATCCTGAGAAAGAGATTTCAAGAAGGAACTGTCCTCAGCCTATGCAAAAAGCTAACTATATTCAATAAAAGGGACATACTTTGCAACGGACAGAAAATTCCTCTGAACCAGTGGAAGATATATCTTTACAGTGATTAACGGTGGAAGTTGAACTTGGACTCTAGATCAGAAAAAAATATCACAGAAGATAGATCGCAAATAACTTACAATAGAACAACTTTTGCTTTCCTGCTTTTCAGGAGCACTTTTCTGGAAACAAAATGCTCATCTGGAAGAGTTGAAAGACTCACCTGAATTTCGTTGAAATCCTTTTTCACAGTACTATCCCCAGAAGATTGACGATGCTCTACCTGTAAATAGAAGGAAGAATTTCAAGGTTCTCTCTGAAGTACCGGTAGCCTAAGTTGATCAGGTGCATGTTTCTCTAGATAGGCTTCATACATATTAATTTTAGCCTAGAGACTCATGACAAAACAAAAATAAATAGAAAAACTTACATCTAGAAATTCTTTCGTGTGGTATACACCTCTAACTCGTACATTCTAAATTTGAATACTTTAAAGGAGACTTAAAAATACGCTCTCACACTCTGCACACTCGTCGTAGCCGGATCGATATTTGGAAGGCGCTGGGCTTTAACAACCTAAAGCAAGCTGCATCTTAGGTCCAAACTTGTAAGTACCTCATTAACGGTGATATCTAATAGATCTTTGACTTCTTTTTTAAGTTTTTCCTTTTGTTCCTGCTCTTCATCCTCACATTTCTGAAAACCCTATACATTGACATTGGTTTCGAATGTATACCTGATCCTCGGTTTTCATAACAGGGGGGCTATCCTTTTGTGGAACATCAAGTGAAATTTCCTCATTTGAAACCTACTATTCAGTATAATTAAATTCAAGAAACAATCTAACTCACATTTAATTCAGGAGAGGGTGTGCTATTGATAATCTCAGAAGAGCATGAAGAATCTTATATAATATCGATTCAACGTATTTAAAACGTATCGAACTAACCTTCTCTGCTCAATTCGCTACTTTTTTCATCAACCATTGAAGTTTCTGATGCTGTAGTTGAATCCAAGCTTTCTTCACAATTATCGCGACTTGCTATATGCTTATTTTAGCTTTTGACATTCTGATTGACTAACCATTTAGTTCGGCAGCTAACGCTTCAGCTGCTTGTAGTCGTGTTCGAGACCTTGTTGCTCTAGTCACAGGTGCTACAGCTGTAGTAGCAGCCCCCCTTGATCTTCTCGCCATATTTTAAATTTCCGAAAACTGTATTGTTCCTATTAGAGAGAATTTCTATTCGTTAAGCAGAAAGGGTTTTAAGTTAATGCTCTAGATGTATAAGTCTGAAGCTCTGATTTTATGTGAATACATTTAAATATGAGTAGAACCTGCAATAAAAATATTTCATAATGCGACACGTTTTAATTAATGGACAAGGTAAAGTTCAAGACAAAACTTGTTCGTAAGATAGAAGAGAGATGAGAACTTCATTCATTCATTACAGTTAAAAGATATGAGATTCGGATTTCATACCTGAAGATGCATAATTAATGGATAACTTTTCAAAATATTTTAAAGGTAATACAGTTAAAATTTGTAAATCCATAATAGCGTGTACGGCTGGCATTTCAGCCTGGAGACCGGGCGCGAAAGCGAGCGGCACAAGGGCGGGGCTAGTGGCTGACGCTCATTGTTAGTTAAAAACTAATTTCTGAAAACACAAATCAGATCTTTATCATATAGCTACTGAACTTGTAGGATTATAATGACGGAAGATTGTTTGCATATCATCAGTTTTGCTTGACTCCCTTCGAGCCGCCCTGGTGTTGGTGCGAGGCAGATGTATCTGAGTTTGGCATGGCAGTTAATAATGCTTTTTCTGTTTTCAACATGGTGTCCGTTGTGGAAAGAACCTACATAAACTGTGTCAAAAGGTTAAGGAGAACTGTGGATATACCTTCAATTGACCGTTGCTAGCTTCCAGTATGATATCCGTTCCAACAGTTTTACTCCATTTACCCGTATAGAGCGAGTTCGCTATCTAAGATGCCAATGAGTTGCTGTGTTGATTAAACCAGCAGTACTTGTAATATTGGTTTGTCAGTCTCTGGCCTCCTTAAGCTCACTTGGCCAAGGCTCACAGCTCTCCGAACCATTTGAGCATCTAAAACTCCGTTAACCTAAGAAAGTACATTACTTAAGGACAATTCTATGAATAAACTTCAACAACTAAAGTTGTTTCTTCCCACTCATCCTCACTTTCCACATGATCATGACACTCGTCGATCTTATGCATTCCTGGAAAGGAAGATTCACTAGCTTCAAAGCATAATAAGCATATGGCAAGATAAAAGTGATGAGGTTGAACATTCGAAATCGAAGAAATGCAACAATCACATTTATTAAAACAATAGTCATATCACAATAAATAGGAGACCCGATCCCTTGGTATTATTCATTTATACAACTGTTAAAGTCATCAGTTTTACAATCTTAGGTCATTCCTCTTTTCAAATAATGAACTAACATCGGATAATGTTGAATGTATTCCTTTTCCCCTCGAGCAACGACAGAGTTAGCGTATGATGACAACAGACTATTGAGAAAAGCTAATCTTTCCACAATGTTATGCTCATTACACCAAGATACGTACTCATCAACCTGGAAAGGAATAATAGAGAAGTCGAGAGTTCATTCACAAACCGTCCACTCCACACTGGTATGCGGACTAACTAAAACTGCTGGAGAATCACAGATCAGAATGTGGATGATTGCCCAGATGGGAAGATTTTCCGGTAGCTCGGATATATTTTCAGTGTATAGAAGAGTCAATTGCGACGGCTCAGGGTATTTAGATCCACATCCCATCTCATTGATGACTGTTAGAAGGCTGTAAAATGTGATTAGAAATATTGCTAAATTATGAAAACCTCAATAAATCTCGGTGCAAGAAGGTACGAATAGTGGGGTTTAGAGGCCTGATAAGAGTAGAATACAATAAAAACTGCTCTAATACGAAATCACATAGGGACGATAATCCATTTGCTTGATGGATACTGCCCCCCATGTGAGCAGCATGGAGAATGACACATTGTAGAAACGCACATAATTCCTTAACAAACCATCATAGGAATAACGATGAAATGCGCGTACTTACTTGCATATACGGAGACACATCCCTTGCTCCAAGGGTTTCCGTGTGCATTGTTGCTAATATGGTTGTAATGCTTTTCTTTATTGCTTGCATGATAGTTCCTAAAACTTCACTTTGGAACGCATTTAAGGGAGCTGAATGAGCTGGCCATCTAGCAGCCAGAGAATGAGCGGATTGCAAGAGACGATAATTAGTTAACTGTATGGAATTTAAACGATCACCTATAAAATCATCAAAGAATGAGAAGATACTTCAAGACTAACCGAATAATAAAGAGTCATTGTCCAATTTTGTTTCCATTTCGAACCTTTTTGCTACCATTCCTATACTCTTTCTAATAGTTTTTTGCATATCTTCTTTCAAGTCATTATCCCATTGTACTTTACTTAATTCTTCTTCGAAAGTGGTGTTCAACTATAGAAAAAAAAGTTAAAAGTGAACAGATAATTAAGCCCGACCACATCGACAAAAGCATTTGCATGAGAAGAGGTGAAATCATGTTGATCAATCATTTTGTGCAAGCGCTGTAAAGATTGTGATAGCAACGATGCTTTCAACGGACGTAGAGCATCGTCTAGTGGACCTAGTGAACACTCAGGACGTGATTGTAGAACGCGACCCATTTGTTGTACAAATCTGAAGAAACATTACATTAATAGGTCTTCCAAACACCTCTACCTCAAAGCATAGGCTGCATCCAAAGGTACTCTAGTACGTATACTTCGGGCTATTTTCTCACTAAACTTTGACATATGACTGTTACCTTTATGAAAACGATTGATGAGAGAACAATGAAACCATCGTCATACCTAACAGAGTGGATTGCTCCAATTGGGAATGAATCAAATTAACACACACAGGAAGGAGCTTCATAGGTTCAGGAGATACAGCTAATTCAGCTAGTTTAGCATCAACTTCTGCAGCTGCCGAAGAAAGTTGTACTTCTAGTTCAGCTGAAAAAGGCAAGAATACAAGGTTCATGTGACTTTTCTAAACACTAACCGTTCAAAACACCTAAATTGGAAAGGGCTTTTGTGGCTGAAGCCACCAACGAAGCATTCAAGCTGATAAGAGCTCTACGCAAGTCATCAGCAGCTGCTCTCCTTACCTGAAGGGGACCTAATTATGTTTTATTTATTGTTTTACCTCGTTGACGGCAGCCTTTAGCTTTGATGTTATGGTGTCTCGGAGCCAAGAAATTTGGAGAAGCTCAGGATTATCGCTTACTATGCCCTGAATCTCACAAACGATTTCTGATCTCTTCACAAGCTCACTCCTCTTCTCAAAGGCGTCAATTAAATCTTCACATCTATAAGGGTGTCGAGTTAGTATGCTATGTACAATTAAGAGACTACTTGATCGCGTCTTCAATGATGTTTCTAATTTTCACGGCGTTTTCAAAAACTTTGTTCTCTTCGCGGAATTTCTCAGCTAAGCCTTGTAAGTTTTTCGCGAATCTGTAAGAGTATGTTGCAAGGTGAATTTCAAGTAACTATAACTTGTCACATCGTTCGTGGACATCATTCATATCAGTGTGCACACCCTTTTGCGTTCCATCCAGAGCTTCAAGAGCTGTTGTTTGTTCCAGAAGACGTGATAAATTCTGTTCTACTTCTTTCCTTAACTGTCTGTTCAACGTGTCGTCGATTTGACTAACGCGCTTTAGAACAGAATCCAGCTCACGTTCTTCACATTTTACAACTCTGTAAGAAGAGCATGTAACACTTTCTCAAACTTAATGTTGTACTTTTGAAGGTATGAACTTTGGTCTACGTTCCCCCAGATGAAGTCTTCTAACCCATCTTCTACAGATTTCGACATCTGAAATCGTGTTTGCATTAGAAACAGAGAGACTGATAATGATGAGTAGAAAAGTAATAGGAAGAAAACCTCGATTGAACATAATGAGGAATCATATATCAGAATATTTTATACATGGGATAAACAATTCATAAAAAAACAATAACAGATCTCTATTCAAACTCAACGAACCTAAAACTAATTCTATTAACAAAAAATCTTATTATCTTAAGCATCAGTTACTACTGCTTTCTTGAGATTATAGTTTTCCACCTTTATACTAGGACATAGTTCGGAGATCAAACCTCTAGCGATGGTCTGCTTAGATTTCCCTTCTCTGAAAGTAATGACTTGTGCTGAAGAGACTCGAAGGACCAAACCTCAGTGTGAACGGCATTCCCTTTCGGAGAGGCATATCCCTTATAAAGTAAACATCTGCTTGAGAATGTTCCCCTGGCATTAACATTTCCTGCGTCATGTCAAACCGGGCAACCTAAACGGAAACTTAAAACTATTTTTTCAAAAACAGAAGAACCTGATCCCAAGTACTGCAGAACATTTTATCAGTAAATCCTGTACGGATTCCAGTTTTGCGGCCATTTTCTTCTTCACTCAATAAATAAAGTTCAGCTTTCACATGGTTGGTAACGGTAACAGCTCCAACATGGCCGGCCCACATTCCTGAGCAATAAAAACAAGATGTGAGGATAATATTTATGGAGATACCTCTCTTAACACTATCAGCTTTCAGTCCTCGGCATAAAACACCACAATGATCTCCAGCTTTAACCTGGAGAAGCGGTGAGCATAGTTCAAATATCTTCATTCAAACCTCTTTAACACTCTTGCCGAATACATGAATGTCAGAAGCCACAGTTGTTTGACTGAACCCGTCTCCTTTTATTTCGAGTTTATCTCCCTTTTTCAGAGTTCCGATCTCTAAAGTTCCCACAACAACAGTTCCTCGTCCTGTTATGGCGATACGCGAGGCTACGGGCATGATTACAGGTTCATCCTGTAACATTGATCAAGTATAAATGGACTTAAATCTATAAAACCTCTTTTCTTTCCGGTTCAGGAACATTGTCCAAAGCGTTCATCAGTTCAACAACAGAAGATTCATCTTTTCCCTCCAAAGCGCTCAACGCAGATCCTCGAATAACTGGGGATCCATCCCCTAAAATCAGGAAGTACACTTAGATAAACTTTGAACTTTTTAACCATCAAAGCCATGTAAACTCAGCAATTCCCTAGCTTCGATTTCGACCAAATCCAAAACATCGTTATCCACAAGGTCTGCCTTGTTGATGAACACTATGATATTCTTTAATCCTATTTGACGAGCAAGGATGAGATGTTCCTGAAAAAAATTGGGTTGAGAATAACTTTGCTGTTTCACCTTGGTTTGAGCCATAACCCCATCTGTAGCAGCAATCACTAGAACCGCAGCATCCATTTGAGCTGTACCGCATATCATATTCTTTGAGAGACGTTAAGTAGACAAAAAACTGAGAACCAACTTTAATGAAATCGGCATGCCCGGGACAATCAGTATGCGAGTATCTTCTATTATCCGACTCATACCCAATATGAGCAATGTTGATGGTAATACCTCGTTTTTTTTCTTCTTTACCTTTGTCAATTTCATCAAATTTTATAGATTTTGCGAAGCCTGTGATTGCAAAAATTCAGTTAGAAAGACTCGGTGATGTAAACCTTTTTTGGAAAGTACTTGAGTAATAGCTGCAGTAAGTGTGGTTTTCCCATGATCTATATGGCCTATAGTTCCAACATTTAAATTAGGTTTAACATTCGCAGCTTTAGCAGCAGCAGCTAATGTCCTGATGGAGTTGAAATTTAAAAATAAATCATCTTTTACGAGATTAGTAGATGGTCCGTAGTATAAACTCTTTTGAAAGGACCTTACAGCCAATCCTACAGAGCGGATCCCTGCAGAAGTCCAGCTCATTTAAAACAAAATCTAAACTGAAGTAACATTTATTTTACAAGTATATACAATTTCAGAGATTTTATTAAAACATTGAAAAAAGGCTTAATCTACATGTTGACGTGGGAGTGAAAATGAGGAACGCGAGATCGCGTCGTTTCGCGTGGCAACTAAACTTGGCCCGAACCAATCCGACCTGACTGATCATATTCGAGTTTTCGGATGGAGTGGGATCTGCAGTCCCACACGACGTATTTTTCAGATTTCGAGCCTATCTGAAGCCTTATCCAAGCTCTTTATGAAGTTTGGATTGATCCTGAATCTTTCAAACGGTATCTACCTGAATGGGAATTATTTTTTTAAAAGATTGGTCGATTTGAATCAGATCTGAACCCGGTCGAAGTCTTATCTAATCGTAGGATATCTTTGCTTTTTGTTAGGAATTATTTCTTGATTTTGACTTTAAATTCTCTGAATAGTTCCTCAAACATCCATAGACTGTAAAGGTTCCTAGTAGCAAAGAACATGGATAACTCAAAAAACGTGTTGAAGTTGACAAAAAAAAGTCAGTGACGGCATTTGTGTCTCGATTTCATTGGATGGTTGGACGAGCTCAAACAAAAAACACATTTACACACAAATAGATGCTTGTAAATACTGGCTTGAGAATAATGCTTGTACGGAACACGAATAAGATGAAGAGTAAGTATAAGAAAAACAATGAATTTCACTGAGATGTTGTAGGAGAAAGAAAACAGCCGAGACTTGAAAAGACAACCTGGATAATATACCCTGGAGCATCTATTCATGTAATACGAAGAGATTCAAAACGTTCTATGTTATAGCCAGTCGGCTCACCGAAGATCACTTTCCAAATTTCGCGAGATTCCCACGTGAATGATCATTTTTACTATCTATCGGTTATGTTATGCATAGTCGTATGGAATAATAGTAAAATCATTTGAATATCTCGATACTTCTTCTATGTGACAGATGCTTACCTAGTCGTAGTTCAGTCTTTTTCATTCTTTCTTTTCTGAAAATGGAAACATGGAGGTACAAATGAATATTTTGTAATTTCAATTATCATCAATTAAAATATTCTTTCTAAAATTCCTATCTTTTCCACTTAAATCTTCATGATTTCCCTCTATCTATCTTTCTCTTTTTCTCTTTGTCTGTGACTTTTTGTGTCTTTCTATCCATATCCACTCGTATCCCAGGTGAATTCCGTCTTGAATATTTCCCTACGCCCCTTCTGTCCTGCATTCCTTTCCCATTATTACTATCCATTAATTAATTTCTCAGTCTTTGCTTTTATTTACTTCACTATACGGTCTATAATAAAAAAAACTTTTTTTTATTGTTTTAACTTTTTTGCTCAGCTGGAAACGTTTATTGGAGTTAAGAAGTAATACAAGAGATACTAAATAATCATCTTCTTTTCTTCTTTCTATGTAATAGAAGAGCAAATAAGGTTTGCTTCTTCTTCTGTTGGCCACTGGAAGCTTAGCCATCTGAAACTAGCTCATTGCCGACGATAGGTTCCTGCTCTCTTCTTTTGTATTCGTTTCATCAGAACCGAAAAAAAAGTATTTCGTCTTCAATTGAGCTTTTAAGCTTTATCATCCATTATCACAGAGATAAGGAAGACTTGTTTAGTTTCTATCATCTAGTTTTTTTGAATATAAAAGTTGTCTGCTGTTCTATATTTTTTCCTTTTTTCGGTTCTTTTGTCTTTACTTACTTTACTCTGCAAATACCATAAGTCTGAACCAAAATAGAACTTTTTCTTTGTATTATTAATCTTTCCTTTAACTATACATTAACGTTTAATGAACAATATTTGCTTCTATGTAAAATCAAGAGCTTCTTCATGAATGACCATCCTTCTTCTCGCCTCTTGTTCATCGTCTCTTAACACTTGAAATCATCTTCTTCTTCTGAATACTCATCTCATTTCATTCGAACGTTCAAATTACAATGCTCCTATCCTTATGCTTATCATCATACTTTTCTTGTTTTCAGAAAGAAGTGTTATATGAACAGGGCTTTCGCGGTTCCTGAGGGCGCAAGTCCGCCTCCGGAGCCGCCGCCTCGGGATTATGGAAGAAGTCATATTGCTTCAGCTTCTACAGATGCAAACTGCCTAAATACTTCGAACAGTTCTAGCATGAGCATATCAACAGCTCGCGATAATATTGGTGGTGGAGATGACAGAATACGGGCTCGAATTGAAGCGTGTAAGCAAGGTATGATGCAGCTGGATGCTTTACGTACCAAACATCATAGATTAATGCAGGTATAGTATATTGGTTGAACTACTTTTAATCAGAAATTTAGGAAATGAGAGATCGCCTTCCTATGATTCCCGGTTGTTCTGATATTCAAGCTCGAATTAAACGAACAGCAGATTTGAAATTAGATCGAACGTCTCTCCAAAGTGATGATTCCGGTATCAGCAACAGCCAGGTAGCATCATTTCGTCATTTGTTTAGTTTTCGCATAAGCTTTTCTGTATGTCTTGAAAAAAAAACTGGAAAGACTCCTGAACAAAAACGTGTGCGCAGCTGCGTGAAGCGGGCTTCACTTGAGTTCTCAATGAAATTGATAATAGTGATAATCTATTGTATTTCTTGGTGGTAGTTCTCTTTTGTGGATTATGATGGCCTTGTTCAATCCCGCTGTGTGTTATCAGAGATTTGTAGAGTTTTAGAAGGAAATTTAAAAGAGAGGGGCCATAGAGAGAAGGAGAGTAGAGTACGCAGAGAAGGGTCAAGAGAGAGAGAGATAGAGAGAGAGAGAGAAATGAAGAAAAGAATGAGATATACAGAGGGCCAAGAGTAATGAAGAGGTGAATAAGAAAAAGGGAAAATTCATATAGATAGAGAAGAGGATTACACGGAGTTTGAGGGATGAATGACGAGAAGAAAAGAAGATAATGAGTGAAGCGCTTCGAAGGAACAACGGCGACGACCTGCTGATCACCTTCGATGTGCTATAGCGATGACCGTATGAGACATCAGAAACCGGATGAGTTGACTGATTGAGAGAATAATAATAATAATAATGATGAGAAGAAAAGAAAATCTTAATGACCTGCCAGCGGAGAAAAGCCAAAGATGGAAATTTCGACAATGGAAATCTTAAGATTTCATTTATGAAGACAAAAGGTGGAATGTGAGAGATAGAACAAAAGATCAAAACTATTTGAACGGGACTTATCGAACTCAGCTTTATCTTTTTTTTAAGAACGTTCCATCAAGAAGTACATCACCTTCCATTAGCCATAGATCATCAGTGAGCTGTGACTCAGGATGTAGCAGTGTGTTTAGTACAGAACTGACAAAGTAAATTACTTTGTATTTATACAAATACAGTCTTTAAACCAAAAATTCAGTTCGCAGCCATCAATGCCATATTCGACATATCGAAAGTTGTCCTTAGAAGATCGTGGTTTAGCTAGCGCTGTTCCACCAACGAGAGATTCTTATCAATCACCTTTACAACCTAATCCCGTGCCGATTGTTGTATGTTTTAATTTTTTTGTATGAGAACATTTTCTTAATTTAAAGGCTACAACAATAGCTTCAACAACATGTCTGAGATCGGAAGGAGTTACAAAGAATTGGAGGAGAAAACAACAACAGAGACCTCGTAGCATGTATGATCGTTCAATCCATGATGAGTATGTAATATAACCTAAAAGAAAACTAAGAGTTTCATTTAGTGATGAGTCTTTACTGGATAGCGTATCGTTTAGCCAAATTACTCCTCCACCGGTTCATCGGAAATTTGGAATAGCTCAAGCACCAAACTCTCTCACCGTTAGTGTTCGCTTGTAGTTCTAAGGGTACTGTTACATTATAGAACACACCTCGATCACCCTTGGTCCAGCCGAGATTTGCAGTCAACTCTTCACCTCAAACACCTCATCGTGTTGTGAGAACTGCCCAAAAACCGGAAATTGTCAGAGCGAAAGCTGCCCGAGTTCAAGTGAAACTGATAAAAAACATATTGTCAACTTAGTTCCATATTTTCAGAGTCCAGAAATGGTTTTTCATGCTAGCAGAATATTTGTTGATCAGAGCCCACCGGTTGATAGAAGATTGAAGCCATCTAAAAACGTTCTGGATAAACGTCAACGCCCTCAAAGCTTATTTGATTCTCGAACATCGGATAACTCAAATGAAGAACCTTTATATGCAACTCCAGCAAGAGTACTCGTTAAGTAAGAACTTAATAACAGCTTTGTGAAAAAATATTATAATTTTAAGAGATCGGACAGTTTTATCATTCGCGTCTTCTGTCTCTCCTCGAAGGACCGCATTCACACCAGTTGTATCAAGGTAAATGAGAGCTAGAGTATGAAAATGAAAACATAAATAAACATATTCTTTTGTAAACTAAAATGTCAATATAATTCCAGTAGAGCCGCCACCGACAAGAAGGTTCGTGTTTGTAACGGAAATGGAAGAGCTCGTGATTGGATCGAGTCACGACAACTGTGAATTCATGTATTTTCAAACTATAACCCTTGTATGACTTTTCTATGAACGAAAATGTTTTGTATAAAAAAAAGTTTACACTGTATATGATATGATAATTTTTCTGATATAATAAATATTTATTTTATGCTAATTAGGGATGCTTGATGTTGTCGTTCTTGATACGATGAAAGAGTGAGCGGTGGTGCAGTTCTTTGTGAGTTCTTATCGGTTTATTCATATATGGTTGTTAGTTTTAAATCAATATTATTATATTTTGGATTAAAAAAAGATTTGAAACATAAAAATGAGATTTGAACGCCCATAACAAGACCAACATTTAATGAAAAAATGGATTTTTTTGTAAAATGTAGTTTGATCTCTTCATGTATGTTGTGGTTGTAATACAATTTCCTTATAATGTCAATGGAACTTTTACAACAGATTTACAATACTTCTTTTCAACCTTTTTTGGTAAGAAATCAGAGGATTGACGCTCACCTTTTCGTTTCTTTTCTCTCCTTTTCGCTCTCTCACTCACTGGCTCTCCACATATTCTCCTTATGTTACTCTTTATATGGTTTGTACGACCTTTGTTGGCTTTTCTCCTCAGGCCTTAATCCTTCCCTCCTTCTGTTTCGTCGAAGTTCGCTTCTCTTCTTCTTCTTTTATGTAATAACCGCTTAGTTTCAGTCACGCTCTTTCCAAAACTCATTTGTAATAGCTAAACCACTAGTTATCTATTTCATAAGTACAATAATCAATTTAACGATATATGTTTGTATTAATTACTACTCACATAATTAATAAATTGACGGCACATGCTATAATGCGGTTAATTCAAAAAACCTCTTTGTCCTTCAATATGTTTTTTATGACATTCGCATATGGAAGTATATAGTTCTTTTGAGAAACGCAAATTTTTGAACAAAAGGAGTTGAACAAACCTTTAAAGGGATAGACAGTAAGAGAGAGAGAGAGAGAGAGAGAGAGAGAGAGAGAGAAACAGAGAGATAACGAACCGTCTCTTTACCTGTCATTACTCCAATAAAAGTCCATTGAATGCACAAAGTGTCAATGTCAATAATTCTAATATTTCTCTATTAAAATTTATTAACTTTTATATTTTCAAATTGAAGATATTGAGGAAATATTAACCTTTCGAAGGTTAAGCACTTATCTTATAATTTGTCTTTATAATAAGCACTTGTCATGCTATATCCTCTCACACTTTTGCCTCACCCATCTCTCTCTCTCTTTTCTTTTCTGATTTTCTTTTACGTCTCTTGTTCCTTTCTCTCCTCAAATGGACTTGTAGAAGAATTGATCCACAGAATCACTAACAGCTGTCATTTGATTTCTTTCTTATAGTCGATGATCCGCTAAGTTTCATGTCTCTTCTTCATTCTTACATGTCCAATCAAATTTACATCAAAACTTCATTTTAATATTTTTTTTGTTTTTCAGCTCAGTTCAGAATTTTACGTGAATTTCTAAAGTGTGCGAATGTCTTCAACAATTCAATTGAACAGTTGATTCGAACCTGCTCCTACTTTTTTTCACATTCCCATCATGCACAGTCCACGCAGAAGCACAAAAACAAGCTTAATCGTCGTCGTCGTCTTCAACTTCTCCTGCTCCTCATCAGTGTGTTGCTGCTGCTGCTGCTGATCCGCCCACTTCAATCTATCATCTTCACTGAATTCGTCTTGTTCTTCTCGGTCAACTTCGGCTTCTTCTTCTTTAATTCAACTGTACAACAGTTTATTTTGAATTCTATCTATTTGCTATTCAATCCAATAACTTCATATTTCCATAATAGTTTATTCGTCATGGCAAACCTTATGTGCTTTCGTCCAGTCAAACGTTCCGAGGTAAGAACAGTTTTGATTTGAAAATTGAATTTGTAGAGAGAGTTAAGTCGTAAATGTGTTTTCTATAGTTATCTTGTATTATTATGTTTCATCTCTCCCATCTACATTACCATCATCTCAGTGTTGTGTTGCTTAACTCTAAGACAAGCATCTTCGAAAACATCGAAATGTTCAATCTCCCGCAGTCATTTTATCACCTCTATACAAGTATTTTATGGTTTCTAGTTCTAATTATGCTTATGAAATTCAACACGAAAAAAGTATTTGAAGGAAAAATTTAAAATTCTTAGTAGCTCTCTGACCTTCGAAACAAAGACTTCATTGTTTGCTAAGATTTAGTCAACACATGTACAACTTACAACGTTACCTTCTTTCTGTCTCAAAAATCATGAATGAAGAGAGGAAGAGATGTCGTTAGTGAAATTATCAGAGAAAGTGGTAGAAAACGGATAAACGAAGACTTTTTTGATAATTTATGTGTGAAAAGGGACACAGAGAATTGATGTTCTAATTGAATTTCTTGTTCTTTTTTTTTGTTGTCAATTAGTTGTGTTGACCTTGCACCTTTTCTTCTAAATGAACAGACAGAAAAGAATCTGTCTTTTTTTGAATTAAAAAAGAAATGTTCGTTAAAAGGATATTGTGAATGAAACTATTTCACCATATTCCTATTATGGTTAAGTGATGTGAGATGATTTGTGAGAGTAAAAAATGCGAAACACCTCAAATGGCTTCTTGAAATCTCTTGAAAAGCCACGAATAGATCAATGCAAATACCGGATAAAAAGGTTTTTTAAAGAAATGCATGGGATTTCTTTTTTGTTTTATTTGTTTGTAAAACACTTGTAATCTTCTTATTTCTTATCCTCAAATGAGTTTTTTTTTCTTTTCCATTCCACACCATTCCATAATGGAATTTGGCTGTGATTGCAAACGATTACGTGATGAGGCATATCCACATTTACATGCAAATTTATTTTATTCAAACCCAGAATTTTTAGAAAGAATATGTTAGTTTGTAAGCTTTATCAACAAGTTTTAATCGTTTAATTAACGATTCTCTCTTTCTCATTCCCATTTTAATATGAAAAATCGTGATGTTCAATCATATTGATAAGCTAGGACATGATGTTTCTATCTGTTTTCTTTCTTTTTCAAAACAAATGTCTATCTTCTAGCTTCTCATTGAATTTTCTTTATTTCTTCGTTCAACTCAGAGTTTATTTGCTTTGCAAATATCAAGAAAGTGTCCCATAGCTTTTGCACCCTTTAGCATTTTCCTACAGAAACAATGAAAGACCAACTCTCTGGTCATTTACAACTATAAAATAATAATTTCATACAAAATAGAAAATCATAATTGAGATGAATTAGGAAGTTGATTCAATGAAAAAGAAAAGATGATAGAAATGTAATTAATCGATCAAATCATTTCAGAAGAAGGAAGACGTTTACGAAACTGCCGTTAACATCGACACAAATGCCAACGTTGCACCTGTAGGTTTTTATTTTATTTCAAATTTCACGTGAAACGATAAGAAGCTTCACGTACTCATCTTCTATTCATTTCTATGCAAATTGACATCGATGACGGTTGCTCTCATACGCATTGCTTTGAACAAACTTCTTAACACATTATCACATTTCCGTTTCTCATAATGAAATTATAGAAAAAAACATTTTTTTTGTACTATGTTCAATTAGAAAAGCATAAGTCATGATGTAATCAAATGTTTGAAGCTTTTTCGATAGTCATAAGCTTTTCCTTTCAAATACATCTTTTAACAAAGAAGCCTTGCCGCTTCTTATTTTTGTTCAATTATCTTTTTTTCTTCTATATTTAAATATTTCAAAAGAATATTTAATATATTCACTATTTGAAAGAAAGAATAATGAATGAAAGAAGAAAAGACTATAAAATGTCTCAAGAGAATAAGTTTCAACTTGACAAGTATAAAAGAACTGAAACGCAATCCCAGTCATAATGCTGGGCAACATTAGGCATCTTTGCTTCCAACAAAAACTTATTCAATTAATTATTACTTTCATTTACAACACTGTCGTTTCTCTCTTCAAAAGTGTACAAGTTTAATTGAGTTGAATGAAGCCATGCAGAGTTTCTTCTTCTTCTTCTTCTTCCTCAACTTTCTCTCTCTTTTTCTTTCCATTAAAATGGCTGTTCACTCTTTCTAGCTTTTTTCTCCTTCTTTGCCATACATCGTTATTTGATATCCACAACTCTGTTTAGACATTTGGGCTTTAACTAATGTCTTTGCTTTGGTGGTCCTAAAGCTCTTTCACGAATAACACTTCTGTTTTTCCATCTAATCTTAGCCTAAAAAAGCTGCTCCCATTCTTTTTTATTCTTCATTTGTCTGTTTCTCATTTCATCTTTTCATGTTGACTTTTTCAACAAAATCTTTACTATCTCTTAGCTCTATCACTTCCTCACATTCGTTTTACTTATGTTCCACATCATGCACATCTTGCACATTTTCAAAAGAGAATTAACTGCTTATCCATATAAACATCTTTTTTTCTTCAGTCGCCCATCATTTTTACTCCAAAAATCTTCAAAACTCTAACTTTACTAGTTTTCAATAATAACAATCTCAAACATTTACAATATAAAATTAATTTTTCAGACAGCTCGTATGTCTAAAGAAAATGTAGAAGAAGGATTGTTACTACATTACATAACATCACGAATTATAGGTAGGTTAAAGGAAACTTGGCTATCCGAATTGAAAAACCTTACTTTGGCAACTTTTACAATAATTTCGTACAGAACAGATGTTCCGAACATCGAATTATCGTAATGTCACTGTTCATTGCCACTTGTTTGCGTATGAAAGTGCATCTCAATTAACATAAAACACGTGGACATTCCACGTGAGCCACTTTTCTCTGGTTATTGTACACTTTGTCTATTTCGCACACGGTTGGGCTTAAACGTTTACTTCCTTTCTGAATTTGAAGCCTATATTTCGGGTTAGTAAAGAAATTTTAAAATTTTATTTTCAGTTTTAACCTCACCGGACAATGGATCCGAAAACTCTTACCTGGATTCATTGCAAACAGCGGTACTAACTGTCAAAGCCAAACATTTTCTACATTATAAAGTAAGTGTTATCCTGCTAGCTTCTCGATTATATGTTCATTTTCAAAGGTATGGTCAGTGTCAAGGAAGCGAATTGACATTAGCCGGCAGTTGAATGCAGAAGACTGTGGATGGCCAGTCGGCTTGGTACCCCCTCTAGATAGACTATGTGCCATTTGCAAACAACTCGAACAATGGCTGCAGCAAGATCCTGAAAATGTCGCTATAGTTCATTGCAGGGTTTCAACAGATTTTAAATATACAAGACAAATCTAATCTTATAGGGTGATAGGAGTCGAGCAGCTATGATTGTATCAGCTTATATGCATTATAACGCCATATGCTCAGAGTGAGTAATCGACGATTCACATTCTAACAACTTAACAAAAATGTTTAGAAATGATTCAATAGAAGATAGGTTCAGTATGCAACGATATGCTGACGTATATATTGGGGGTTTCTGTCAACCTAGTCTCAAAAGGTAAAAATATTTGAATAGTTATATGAATAAATCTATTTTTCAGATATATTACATATTTCACTAATTTATTATCAGGAAAAACTCGGGTCAATTCCTCTCCTATATACCTTCATCGTGTGTCATTAACTTATTTCCAAGGAAATAATTTATCGCTCAAGATCTACGAAAGACTTTCCCCAGTTTATGAAACATTACCAAAGTGAGTTTTGCTTTGTTTTTTTCTTGAGATTGAGAGCCCTCTCTGAGTCCTAAGGCCTATAAAAATGTGTTTATAAGGAGAATATACATATTGAAAGACAAGAAAAGAAATATGAGGTCCTTGTTGAAAGAGAAATAGTGGAAGGAAATCAATGGCCCAGTGCATTATGAAAATATTTCTCTGAGCATGCTTCCCATTTGCGGATTTCCTTACCTTTTATGTATTTTTTTATTGAATTTCGATTATCTCACAAAATCTCGATCGTCTCTTAAATTTTCTGTTGCAGGACAGCTAAAAAGGAATCCAAATGGGATATTGAAGATCTTAGTCTACGAGGAGATGTATTACTCAAAATACAGCTACACAAGTATGTTCAGCGTATTTATAAAAGCATTCTTCAAATTCCAGAGACGGTTTCCAAAAAGATTTGCTCCTTTGTCAAATTAACACCTGTGCATTGGGTATTGCTGAACGTTCAATAGTTTTATCATTTCATAAAGAAGAGCTGGATTTGGTTTTTGCAGGTGGGCAATTCAATTGAAAATTATTGAAAACGTTGCTTCATACAGACCCTTCGGTTGATAATCGATCAGTCTTGGAATTAAGGCTTTCCCTTGATCCTGTAGTTATTAAATCAACGAATGCACGTAAATCTATTATGGATACTAGAAGGAACAGCTATGATTATTTTCCAAATCCTGAAGGTTAGTTTTGTGTTTATACTGCTTCGTTCTCTAGTAGACTATTTTCTGTTATATCTATAGCTAGTTCTTCCATCATTCCATGCATTCGCGAGGGAGGAATGGGAGGGGTTAATAGAGTTAAAGATATACTGATCGATGATCAGGTTCATTTTGAACAGAAAATGAAGGTGCTTTGTCTGTCAGCTTCGTGGTCGCAGCTGTTATTAGACTCGTTGATTTTCTGTACCTTCATCTTAAAACTCTGCCGTGGCATATTCGAGTATCACATTTGGAGCTTTTCATTCGTAGTTATAAGCAAGTGGTTTTAAGCAAGTTTTGATTAAGATAAGTATTATTACAAGTCAATCACAACTAATATATTTACTTAACTTGAGAATTCTGATGTCAGGTAGCTATAGTTTTCGAAATGTGCAGCTATTAAGTTAGAGTCTCTGCTGTTTGTTCCCATATGTTCACCCTAAACATCTATTCGTTTTCCGCACTTTACACAGTTGCCGATGTTTTGTGAATGACACATGCCCATTCATATTCATGTTTAGTAATTCTTTAAGTTATTAGAGTTTTTAAAAAGCTTCGATTGAAGAGTTGTTTTCTCAAAACGCCATGGCAAGACTTATGTTATCACGTTTTTCCATCCGGGCTCTCTCCGCATAAGGAATCGTATGCAAAATCATTCAGTTCGTTCAGTTCAGGAACTGCGTTTGGTTATGATAACTGTGTATCTTATTTATCTTCACCCTCAAGCTATATCTCTTTTTCTTTTTATTGATTGAATGCTTTCCCATATACTTTACACTTATCTTCACCCGCCTACTCTGTGTCTCTCTCTGTCTCTCTTTATATCCTCTTTCAATCAATCCTACAATAAAACACTATTTTCTGTGTTGATTTTCTTATTTTTAACATTGAACATTGGCCACTTTAATCGGTCTTAAATTTGTAAAAACTAATTTTCAAAAAAAAAGAAACTTTTTTCATAAATTTCTATTTTTGCAGAAGTTTCTCTCATATCATATCAAATTGTTTTATTTATAGACGAAGCGACAATCACGGCTGAATATAGCGAAATTCGGAAGGACCTTGGTCCACAGGCGAAGAAACAACAGGCCATCACAGATCTAGACGGATATTCTATATCTTTTGAAAACGACGAAAACAAAGTGAGTACTTCACGTTTCCATATGCATAATTTTGTCTAATCGTTCAAAACTAACGGAAGTTCAGCCTACAGAACGTCAGGTAGACAAGCATAAAGGTGCCGCCACATTAGAGATAGAACACATGTTTCGGTGGTCATTACCTCCTTGCTTCAAAAATCACTCGAGTCTATACTTTAACACTAGACAATCAAGTATTACAGATAAGCAACGGGAAAATGCCGCCACCAGTTCCACCTAAGCCTCGATCCGCATCAGCGATGGATGACCCCATTGAAATGCCAGAGAGGTTCGCTTTTCTCCACTTTTACTTTCTATAAAAAGCTCCCAATATCTATTAACTGATTGTTTATCATGAAATACATTGAACTTCTCGGTTTACAGAAGGGGAGTTTTACCTGCTCAAGTTAGGCCTGTTGTAGCTCATAGACCTCCGAGTCCTCGCGCGGCTGGAGGACGCGCAACTCCAAGCATTGAACCAGATTTGGTGGGGAAAGATAGGTTAGATATATTTGCAGCGTCTTGTGCTTTATTCTATTCTAGGTACGACAAAGCTTCCAAATGCTTTTCCTATGTGTCTGCAAAAGCGCTTAATGAGGCCTTTGAACGTCCTCGTCGCCCATCGTTTTCTCGAGCTGTCGAACGAAGAGAAGACGAAGTCAATAGAGTAGATCCAGAAGATATTCAAAGAGTGAGCACCCCCAATGCGTTTTCTCACTACTCTATATTCTGCTTATAGGTGGCTGTTCAGTCGTCTGACCTTATAAGGAAAACGGAATCTCCTAAGTGGGATGATGAAGTGGAAAGAACCAAGAGAGTGAGTATTACATGATGATTACATTATTCACATTATTTATCCCATAGGACGCTTTGATGAACGAACTCGGACGGCTTCCTCCTCGCAGTCACTCAGTAGCTGCTCAACCTTATTATAATCGTAGAGATGAAGATGTAGAAGAGAAACCGGTGGTAACACTAGCATGAATCTTCCTTCTCTATTTTCATTTTTTCTAAGATATTCGATCAAGCTCAACGAGCAGTAATGACAACGACCCCTACATCCACTTTAGCTAGAAACAAAGGGAAATATGGTAGTTATAGAACATTACACGACGACAAGTACAGGTACAGGAATTTCTTAAATCATTGTTTCTGAAAATCGATTTTGTTAGTAGCGTTATGGACGACCTGTGTGATCCAGATTTCTATCTTAATTATAAGGCACCCACCAATTCTGCTCCTCAACCCCCACCTAGACATGCAGGAGCCAAAAGCGTGGAACTGCCTCGACGCAAGTTGCAACCCGTTGAAAAGTTCACGTATGTTCTTCGAGTTATTTTTATCTAATACACTTTTTCAGTGATCCACTTGACGATATTTTGAATTCATCTGGCCCAGCTCCGGCAACATCATGTGTTGAATTACGTGATCGAGATGCGTTCCGGAATAGAAATTGTCGAAGTGTGGCAGCAATTCCATCGAGGTATAAAAAAAAATTTCTTAACACAATTATTCCTACTTGTCTGGCTCGAGTATAACATGATAAGAAAAACTTTTTTTAAAGATCCTCTAAGATGACTTATGCAGAGCAAAGAGACTCACCCTTTTTCCGGTATCTATTGATTTAGTGCAGTTTTGAAAGCATGAAATGCTGTTTACTTACTCAATCATGCAGTTGTTCGCTTTCTTTAGAACTAGGCTTTAATATAGAGTGTTTTATTTTTCTGCTTGTTGCATTGTATTCATTTTCTCTTGTTTCAACATAATACTACAGGGATCGCCGACTTTTTGCCGAGAACTATGATGCTATATCTGAAGCTCAAAACCCCGATGATTGGCTCAGCACTAAATTGAAAAAAGTGAGGAGTAAACGTGATCTGGACCCAGATCTTGTTCGTCGCAGAACACAGGAGAAGATGCTGCTTGAGGTAATTTTTCAGTGCTCTCTGTTCTACTACTACTTCCTAGGAACTAAAAAATGCTCATGACGAAAACGAGAACACTAGGCAGCGTCAAGAAATGGATTATACTGTTGAAGGTATTCAGAGGATATATGTTCAGTCTGTTATACTATCTTCAGGAGCTGGAACAGCTATCGATCCATTAGCCGACTACAAACGTGAAGAAGAACGTTTACGTAATACTCATAGTCCTTTCCAAGATTTTCTGCCAAGGTTATTCTTTTTATAATATCAAGTTTTCATATTCATCTGAATTCTTAGACGAGGTCGTGTTCGTGGCAAGCCTCCTACGCCGCCACCGAGAGAACGAAGCAGAAGTCCTGGTCGAAGTGAGCGTGCAACACCGAGCATAGATGTTTGTGAACCGTTATAATATATCTCGTTTATACTCACATTTAGTCACAATATAACACCTACAAGCATCACAATGGAACTTCCAATTATAATGATCACGACGACTTTGACTTTTCTACTCTAAGTAGTATTGTACAGGTTCTTATATCATTTATTTATCGTTCTTACCCGTCCTCTTATAGCCAGCGCACAGAACAGATTCTAGTAGAGAATCAAGAAGTCTTAATAGGCAAAAGTCGTATGGAGCATCTGATAGACCTCCGTTTGCATACCAAGATTCTACGATCAATAGACCAGATACACCAACGAAATTTGTATCTGGGCAGGTTGGGCATAACCAATCTTCCAATTTTATCTCGTTTTTTTCATTTGTACAGGAAAGAGTTGCGGCTGCTATTTATAGAGCTGAAACACCTCAGAGGGAAATTTATGCTAGTGGTACTATATATAGACCAGACACCCCGACAAGATATTTTCCGGAAAATGTAATTTTTGATTCATTTTACTGATGAAATAATTTCTTTCCAGAGCTCTTTTGTTCAGAGAAGTCAAACTCCTGCTTTTCCTGTGGCTAGGGAAACTCCTATTCCTTTCCATCCACTCCTGTACAACCAAAACGGAAAGAATGAGTTTGAAAGGTCACAAACTTTAAACAATAGGTATTATTGAAATGCGTGTTTTCTCCAAAACACCTTTTTTTCAGAGCCGCGTCACCTCGTTCTCAGTATGGACAGCTCAGTAGAAGATCATCTCTTACTTCCGTTGGTGAGTTTTACGATGGTTTACCCTTTTGTAAGAATTCATCACTCTTAACGCTTTCTAAGGCTTCTTGCTTAAGAAATACTTTCGTACGTTCAATCAATGATTGTCGTTTCTAACAATTACACATGTTTGCATCCATAGTTGAATCTTGTTATACGGTTTTCCAAACATTTGAAATATGGGAAAAAGTCATGACAGCAGAACGAACTTGTATAGGTGGGATGTATAATTCTGTGAATTGGAAAGTTTTTCTTATGTCATACAACTCCCCATAGAGGATAAATTTCCTATTTAAGTCTCCAGTTTTCGCTTGCATGACATGCCAGAGAGATAAGCTGTGGAAAGATTGAGAGGATTCAACTTGATTATAGACGTATGTCTAAGGTTCTTCGTTGTCTTTTTTCTTCCACATCAACCTGATTGTTTTCGTATGTCATTTGTTATTGATATGTTATGTGGTGAGGGAATATGCTAGGCAGTTGCGAAAACTAAGAGTGTAGTAGAGATGACAAAAGAGACTCAATGATGAATTAGAGAGAGTTAGGTTCAATGAAGACGCCAGCACAGTAAGGTTATATGAGCCGATTTCTTACAACCTTTTGCTCTCCCTCTCTTCTTTGTGTTCTCATCGGAGTTCAATTGTTCTTCACCCTCTTGGTGTCAGCCATCTCTTCATTTTTCCTTGCTCTCTTCTCTTTTCTGACAAATCTCTTTCGATTCACTCCTCGTTCCTTATCAGCTGTCTCCAACAGAATATTATTAATGAAAGGGTTAGCCTAAGATATCGAGAAGAAAAGATCTTGCTAGAGAGTTGTGTAGGACAATTCTCGCTGGGATGAGCCTATTGGCCTCGTGGGCAAGAAAATTCTAACATTTGGATGGAAAAGTGGGCGTTGCTTGCCAATAGCGTGTAGTCGGCTGTCTCTAACTGATTTCAACAGTTCTCGCTATTCTCTCAATAGCATCTCGCCTCTCTTTTCCACTCTCTGCATTTCGCTCAGTCTGTGATTTTTCTAGCTTTCTCTTGCAGTCTCTGCGTGTGAGGTTGCCAGTCTTCACTCAAACTTCTAAGACGTTCAGTCCTACAAACGTACTTGTAATATTCTGCATAGATTAATTTTTGTATTTCTCCTGCTCTTCCATTTTCATCATGGCTTGCGAACCTGGGCCATCTACCCAAGTTGTAATTCATTCGAAGAAACGGGAAGACGTGTCTCTTGCTTCGTCGGAAAGTAGTGGTTGTTCATCCGATCATGAATCTCCTTCGCGATCACCAGCACATGTTGTGCACGAGAGACCAGTGGAAACAAAACCATCTTACGTTGAAACTGTTATTCTCTCCGATTCAACTTCTACCTCCACTGCTGATAAACATTCTCCCATAAGGCAAATTATACAAAATGCCACAACATCTGAAACGTCGGAAAAAGACAGCCGGAGCTCTTCAGACTCTTTAGCACCTCGTATTCATCTATCTACAGGGGAAGCAACTAATGCTATGGGTCATTCACAGTTCGAACAGAACAGTGAAACTTCTCCGAAGCCCGGGATCAAACCATCACGTAGGATATAATTTATCAACGATTCATATTATTTATCATTTTAACTGATCATTAATCAGGAATAATTTCGAGAAAGATGAATCTTTTACAATACAGGATTTCTTTTCCTGATATCCTAACGATTTTGGCGAAATCATGTCGGAAAATATCCTAAAGCTATCAGAATCAAAGACAAACACATAGTTTTACTAGAAAAAGTTTTAATATTACTTATTCCAGATACATCAGATATAATCCATCACCATCCTGTTTTCGTGAAGGATACCTCAAAGTATTGGTACAAGCCACACATTTCGAGAGAACAAGGTAAGCTTTCGTATTAGTTTGCTGATAAAACGAGTCTAGCCATAGAAGTGTGTGCTACGAGTGGGTATTTTATAGCAATTTTATGTGTGTTTTTCTTATTATCTTATTGTTTCCTTCTTTTTTCTTTGGCTTTGGTTCTTGAAGGCTATCGAAAGTTTGTTAGTTGAGATTGGTATTGCTTGCTCGCACAGAATAGCGTTGTTCGCCTTTGGCTTTACAATGTGAAGCAAGTATGTAACGCCAGGGCAATATTGATCGAACATAAACTTGAATGATCAGTAAATGTTGAATTGGTCAGATTCAAAAGCATAAAAACTGTCCAACTGTCCCTTAGGTTCACATTTTACCATTTTTGTGTCTGACAGCTGAAAGCGTGATGAAATCATTGAATTTTGTGAATTTTGAAAATGATTCATTGTTTTATTTAATATTTTTTATCCATCCTGTTATGAAATATAAGAATTTCTGTTTGAAAAATCGGAAATGCTTATGATCAGCAGTCAAACAAAAGCTTTAAACAAATGATTTGCATTGTTCTCATCACAAAAGAAATTTTGAATGCAAATGATTGAATCATTCGTTGAGTTTTGCATTTAAAGCTGAAGAGCAGTTTTTGTTTGTTAACATACTTAATTCCTTAGTTGAGTCTTTTTAACCTTGAATCTCTTCAAACATCTTTGAATATCAGGCGGCAGTTTGTCGAATTAGAGGAAAGAAGGCGGCCTGCTGAAATTGAGAGAAGGAGGCTTCGAGCTCTTTTGCCCTCGTCCATCACTTGGTTTCTACTATGTGTAATAGAGAAGCCAGATCACATAATGAACAGATTTTTAAATAAATAAAAAGTATGGAATGATGTGTTTATCGAAGGGTTGGCTAAAATATGAGAAAACCAAGAAAAGTAGAGAAAGCTGTTTAAGTTCTCAGATGTTTTCGTCTTCGAAATGGAACATCTTACTCAAAAGAACATGTGTAAAGTGCATTTCGGCTTATGTAAATTCGTTTGCTATTAGGCATTCAGAAAATGGGTACGATCGAGCGAAGAAGAAGAAGAAAGTGAGTGGAGTGTGTGCTGGAAAATATAGGGGATCCTATCTCAGTATGGTTACGCATTGAATTCAAGTTTGCATGAAAAGACAACTATTTGCTCATTCGCACAGTACCATGACTGAGGAGTATAACTTTAATAAAAGCTCTTATTTATTTCTTGTGTATATTTGCGTGGGATGTAACCACGTATTTGTTTTCTAAGGTTGATTTCTTTTTCATCTTTTGTAAATACGATAGCTTACTTTGTTTTTTTTTCAGCTATTAATATGTTACGTGACAAACATCCTGGAACTTTTGTTGTTCGCGATTCCAACAGTTTCCCTGGTGCCTTCGGGCTTGCACTGAAAGTAGCCACTCCTCCTCCTGGTGTAGCGCCCGGTAAGTTGTTCATCTCAATCGTTTTTTTTTTCATTCGAATGGCTATAACATTGTAGTGAGTCTATAGTAGTATCTTTTCCTAGTGGAGTTTAGATATGAGAGTCGTTTCGATTGCGTGTCATGTTTTCTTGTATGTGCTGCTTGCTTGAAGCTGATTCAATTGCCTTTCGCTCCTGCCCATTTCAAAGAATCTGGCTAAATAAAAAAAGAAGCATTCGAAACTAGGGTGGCGAAAAGATAGAATGAACTAACAGATCAGTTTTTCTATTCCAGCGAACAATATAGTAATGCTTCTGAACATTTATAGTTGGTTCTAACCTTATTGCGTTTTTCTTGCTTTCTTGTGCTTCAACTCAATCAGTGAAATCGCTCTGAGTTTATTCGTAGTTCTTATTCTTTGAACGCTTTCGGCTATGCACTGTCTTATCTCTAGCGTAGTAAACATGATTCTGTGGGTCTGTGAAAAGCATCTGTTGCAAAGTTTTAGACGTTCGCGTGCGCTTATATGAGCTCTCATGCATTTTCTGTTTTTCCGTCGACATTGCTGACGGATGTAAGCCATGCAGCGTCATTTGGCACGGGGAGATCTGACAGAAAAAGCTGAAAGCCCTTCTCATCCTTTGGGATCGTTTAGTACGTATATGACAACCTTGAATCCCCCAGGAAAATGACAATTGATTGGATAATTTTCCAGCATACGTGGGTCAGTAGAGAGTTCACACTGATTTTTTCAGTTTCTCTATTTAGTGGTAAAGCAAAGGGGTGGGGGGATATGTTTGCCCCTAAGCTCAGGGCTGTTCTACATATCTTTCGAGCTATTTGTGCGAACTTGCCAAAACATTTCAATATTCCAGCAAAAATGGTCTCAACTGTTCAAATCCAACTAGTGTTTACTAAAGTTTTGAAACGTGATGTTTAAAATCTGAGTTAAGAGCAAGAAGATTGTTATACGACTCAAATCCTTAGGGACTTGCGCTGTAGTGTGATGCTAGCTTCAATATATCGCAAATGAGAAAATAGAGAGAAATACAAATGGTTTAAAGAGGCAGAAAACATTAGAAAGATTTGAGAGCATGCATACTGGTGATACTAACATAAAGAAAAACAATAAAAAAGAGAGCCATATGCTTTGATAAAAATAGATGTTCCAGGAGATGGAACGGAACTTGTTCGGCATTTTCTTATTGAACCGTCGCCTAAGGGAGTAAAACTGAAGGGATGCAACAATGAGGTGAGTAACTATTCTAATCTTTTATTCCGATTTATTGTAGCCCGTATTTGGCTCCTTGTCTGCATTAGTCTATCAGCATTCAATTACACCATTGGCGTTGCCCACCCGTCTTATTCTACCTGAGTACGATCCAGCTACTACACCTGAGCATGTTTCTGCCACTCAAGCTCTTTTGGAACAAGGAGCAGGTAAATATCATTAAAATCTTTGTTCTTAAGCTTCATTAGTTATTTATTCTTACGCTGTTTCTCCTTGAAACAGTGTCAAAATGCGCTTGACGTCTCACTCTCAAATCAATTTCTTTTGCTTGAACTATACTTTCGTTTATACGCTTTTTCTCTTCACTACTGTTTGGCATGTTACCAATCGCAAGAGCTCATCGTTATAACGATGTCGGCCTTTCCGCTTGTTTCCGAGTTCGCCGGAAATGGGACGGCGCTGAATTTGTTTGAAAATGTGGAACTAAATTAAACAATAGAGTATAAATTCTTCACGATTCTCAGCATGATCTTTCAGCCTGTAATGTCGCATATATTGGAAGTATTGACGTAGAGTCATTAACTGGAAGCGAATGTGTTCGGAGGGCAATTCTACAAGCTGTTGAAGATGCTCAGAGCGAACTTACTCGACCTGTCTCCGTTCATTTCAAGGCATTTTCTATTAGAATAATTGTGTTAGTAAACTTGATTTTTTAGGTTTCCTCGCAAGGAGTTACATTAACTGATAACACGAGAAAAGTGTTTTTCCGTCGTCACTTCCCTGTCAATACAGTTATTTATGCCGGCATGGATCCTTCAGAAAGACGATTCAACAACTATACAGTTATCGGCTTCTCCGATAGTTGTGTGCCAAGTGCTCGAATGTTCGCCTTCGTTGCAAGAAAGGTTTTTTCACAGAATCTTCTTGATTGTTATCAAGTTATATTGCAGCCATCATCTTATGAAAACTCTTGTCATGTGTTTGCTGAATTGGAGCAAGAACAACCAGCTAGTGCTGTAGTCAATTTTATTAACAAAGTCATGTTAGCGAACAGGAGGTGAAGTTAAACGTTAGTAAATGCATACATTTGTTTCTTATTTATCATTACATCTATACATATGTCTATTGAAGATATGCCAATCTAGCTTTGCTCAATTTTCTTGTTAAGCTTGTTTTTCTATTAATATTGTTTATGAATTGAGTATATTTATAAGAAGTCATTTGTAGCTAGAAAAAAGGTGCTAACTCCAGCTTTGACCTGTCCGTGTTCTCTAGTTCAGTTCATCCCTCGAAGATCTATTTTATAGAATATAATAGTCATTTTTATAAACCCAGTTCACACTCCTTGGATCAGTGAAGTTTCTTAATAATTTCAAGTTTAAACTTATTACCACTTATGCTTTTGAACTTATTGCCTTATCCCTAAGTGTCTTGTAGTTTTCGTAGCCGTTTCTGCCGGCTCTAAGGCTTCCTAATTCTGAAAAATATGTTTATCAAACGTTTGTTATAGTTTTATTGTATATAATTTTCTGTGCACTGACCGATATTAATAAATTTTATATCATTTCAAAGAAGTATATGCATGGCTTCTATCCAACTCATTGTTCTCTATCTGGTCCGAATACAATCGAAGGTGAAGCCGGTTCTTGCTCTTACTGAATAGATTGTCTCTAGCCGACAGGGGTTAGATAGGTGTCAATGACAGGACAAGCTAGAAGAAGTGCCTTGAGGGCTTTTGGCGGACAAACAATTCCTATGGTAGACTCTTATGCGACCAGACACTCTTTCCGCCTATATATCCCTATTCTACATGATCGCCTCAGGTATATCACGCTGTATGCAGCCGTTTCGCTTTTTTTACCATTGTTTTTTAAGGTTTTAATGATCAGTCTCTCCTCACATCTATACTGCAAGATATATTCAGCGAAGGACGTGGTAACCAAAAGATAAACTTGATTATCCTGTAGCTTTGCCTTTTCAATATGGTCGTAGTTGAATTTGATTTCAGAGTATCTCTGCTGGGATGTGCGGTTGTATCAGTTGTAGCAGTTTGTGGACTTGCCGTTCTATATGTTAGACGACGCTGTTGCCAGAATTCCAAGGCAGAACATCGACCACCAAAAATTAAAATAATCCCTGTTGAAAAATAATTGCTTCAAGTTGAAATTATTTATTTACTTTTTTCACTTTTGCACATGGATCGCTCTGAAGATAGAAGACTCCTCGTGCGTCTGAGAGATCATATTTCCTTGAATTACTTTCGCCTGTGTACATATTTCGAACTCGAACTGTGATGATTTGAAAACGAATAGTATGCTTCCAAGGTTCAAATAAATGTTTTATTAGTTTTCTCAAACACCATGTGCATATAACTTTGTAAAAAAATCTATCACCGCATAACAATGAACAAAACAAATAAAGCAATCGCGACATACGTTTGAGGTCATTACTTAACAATCGCCCCCTGGAATAACTCAAGTCGAACTAATACGCGTACAGGTCAACTTTGCAATTTAGAAATTAATGAAAACAAATAGGTTTCATACAAGCATTGGGTAAAAGGTCAAAACTCACACTTAAGTAGCTTTCTTCTTATTGCCTCCTTTTCCTTTTTTCGAAGGGAAGGAGTCATTGAAGAGCTTGGTCAGCCGGTCTTTCTCACTTTCGTCAATCTTGAAGAGCCTGGATATAGATCGATTGAATATATATGGAAATAAGACTCTTCTCACTCTTCAATTACATCAGATACACTCTTCTTAAGATCTCCCGGATGCAAAGGAAATTCTGGTTTAGATCCTACTAAAAACTCATGTTTCAAAGCTTCATAATCCTTGACTTCTACATCACCACCATTGTCGGCTGATCTAGGAATTCTCAGTGCTAGAATATGAGTTTTCATCAATTATGTGAATATTATAACATACGTTGACCATTCAAAAGAGGAAAAACAATTTTCTGGGCATATTCCATTGGGATGTTGTTGCTCAAGTCTCCGGGAGCACAGAAGGATCTACAACTTCTTGATTTTTGCAACTACTAATTGGACTCACCTTCCTATCTTCGTTTTGATTTGTTTGGGTGTTTCAAATGGATGAAGTAAGAAGTCAACATTGCTGCATCCCATTTTCTTACCATCACATCCAGATAGGCATTTGAACGACAAATGAGTAGGAGCAACAGCTCCAACAGCACGTAAAAGCTGAACAACTACTTTTAGAGCAATGTGATTTTTGTCTCACCTTCTCTGATAATTTCGCAATCTTGACCTGATCTTCTCCTACTAGCACAACATCAGGATTGGCTAACCGAATATTCAAAGCATAGAATAAAGGTACCAAATTGCAAGATATATTACCACCTGAAGTGTAAAAAGAACTAGTTTTCCTATGTCATAGCGAACCTTCTTCCAAAGATGTCTCCTCTTCTGTTACTGAACTTGCCATTTTGTATAAGTCCAGAACGTAATCTCTGAATTTATGATTGTAATTAGACAAAAATTCTTAACTACTTGTTATAATAGCCTTCGAAATTTGATGAGCACACAATCTCTACATGGTTTTGAAGATTCAGTTTCGAAACCAAATACTCAGCAGTAGCCTTAAAGAACTCTGTGCGAGCTTCCACTAAACTCCACTCAGTTTTCTCCTGATCGAGGAAAGCTTCGATTCCTGATACAAGAACTTGAGCTTTCAAGTTGATGTTAGCATCAACCAAAGCCTAGAATAGAATGGTAACACATTAGAACAGTTATCAGAGGGGCAGAAACCTTGATTTGTAATAGACCAGCAACAAAGCCAAGGTGGAAGTTACCTTTGGGATGGATTGGGAAACACACATTAATAGGTCTATTTTGAGAAACAGCTTTTTGCAAAGTAACCGACGTTCCAATCAACTGAAACGTAAAAAGTCATTCTGAGTGAACAGAAGAACACATACTTCGAGACTGTCGGGGAACTTCTCCAAGACGGAATTGTCAGAGCTGTACTCGACTTCGTTCGAAGAGGGGGTATTATCCGGAAGAGTTTGATAACCTTTCTCTATAGCATCTCTGACAACGTCAGTGTCACATCTTTTTTGGATCTGTAAAAGAAGAAATGAACACGGTTAACTATTCGTCAGAACCTTATCCAGGAGCGAACACAGAAAATCTGCCAGAGCATCTTTCAAATGATCTTCAGAGATAGCACCAGCGAGGAAATCTTCTTTCACTTTCTCATAATCCGAGTATTCTTTGCTACCTATCTTGATAGTAGTCAGAATAGGGATCAGAACATTAGCATAGAAAGACAAAACTCCATTGTTTTCTTCTTCTCTGGAAACAGAAAATGTGAAATACATAAACGAAACTGATGATACCTTTCACAACCAGCACTTTTGATCTTTCTTCTTATGAGGTCTTCTTTATCCATAAGATCAATCTTTGAATTTTCTTCAGAACTGCTCATCTTAGTGCCCGTTAAACCAGGAATCATGGGATTCATGAGATGCCATCTCTTTCCCAGCTTCAGCTTTGGAAGTTGCTCTTCGGCGAGAATGAAAATCTTTCTCTGATCGACACCTCCAAACTGTCCGTCAACTTTGAGATATTGCTCGTCTAACGCTTGGAGCAAAGGGTAGAGTAAGCCGGAAAGCAGAGGAGAATCAACCTATACAGTATTTTTTGAACATGGCTTGGTACGTTAACTTACTTGTTTAACTACTTCAGCTCCAGCTTTCAAAGCTGTCCTCCTAGAAATTAAAGAGCACAGACGGACCACGTCATTAGTGTATTCTCTGCAATTAACGGTCCTAGTTCACAAACCAAAAAGATTGCAATATACTTGCTCAACTGATATGTTGTACCACGAACGAAATGTAGTTTATCAATGGGAACATCGAGACTTTGAAGTAAAGCCTTGATTACGTTCTCATAGTAAACAACACGGTTCTCCAACAGCTCCCAAGTACTTTTCATGTTATCCAGAAAAGCATGCAAATCAGCAAACAGAATAGTAACCTGATGGATGATCGTAATATCAGTGGATACTTCAGTTGATACCTTTAAACCAGCATGCAGAAAATCTGCGATCTTCCGCATGGGAACAAGATAGCCAACATGAGGCTTTCCGGTAGTTGCCGTCCCCCAGTAAAGATGCATCAATTTACCATTTTCGAGCTGCTTATCAATTTTATCTACACCCAAATACTCCTGTAACAAGGATATTATTTCGATGAACACGAAGAAATAAACCTGAAGATTTCTCAAAATCAGTTCCTTCCTTTTCAGGTTTTCTTCCGAAAGTGGAGCTGGAGCTGGAGCAGTAGCCATCTGCTATATCTGTTTTTACCTATAACAATATGCTTTGTTGCTGTAACGTACAAACAATAAATGAAGCTTGATTAATCATAGATACGAGCAAATATTAAAAAAATACGCAACGAATGGTACGTAAAATGACGTCACGCTAAAAATAGGGTGTTCTACCAGATCTGTAACTCTTAATGTCCAAACTTCAGGAGCGAGTTTTCAGAGAACTACTCTAGTGAAAAGATAACTTATATTCGTTTCAGTTGTTAATGGGGGTAGAAGATAACTTGGATTTATATGACAGGGAAAAGAATGAAGGAGCGTACAAATGCAAAGTGAAGTAACTGACCTTCGCTACCTATTTCAGTTTTCTATTTCAGAAAATAATGTGTGAGAAGGTCATTAGTTATGTTAATGACTTATCCTATAACAATATCAGAAGAATCAATTCCTGACAAGAGAATTGGACAAACACTTTTTCGCCTGATAGCTCCTCATAAGGTATTTCCACTTACTCCCTATCGTATCTAGTTGTTGCTGTTTTGTGTTGAGCAATGAGTTTGTTGCTCCAAACTCATATAACTGCTCCAATAGATACTTTTTATTATGCATGTATGACCTCTGGTAAAGTTGTATTTCTCTGGGTGGCTAAGGATCATAAAATGATTGTGCAACATATACTGTCCTATCGATTCCAATTCATCTTTTATGCGAATTCTCCAAGAAATGTTTTTGTCCTCTTTCTTTCGAATTCGCTTTGTCTGACATCACAACATCTTGCAGTGTAGGCAATTTCTGGTTCTATGCAGGTGTGAGCAACCCAGTTTTAGAAATGAGTATCTAACGAGTACATATCAGTTTCTAAATTTTCGTTCTTGATCTATGTCATTTGTGCTCTTTGCTCCCAAAATAGGTTATGCAGCGTCGTCTCGCTTGATGTCTAGAACATTGGTACTGAATGGATCTCTTGTTTTGTTCAGTGATAGAACGGAAAGACCCTAAAAAAAACGTTCCGTTTGTCATGATGCCAGTTGAAAACAATCCGATGAATTCAGTCGTTCGCCTCGCTTCCTCTCATCATCGGCTTTCTTAATGTTTTCTCAAAAATTAGATTAAAAGTTTTGTTGCAACAAATGGTTCCGATTTCGGTTTGCGCATCTGGTATCCAAATGGAACTTTCTATTTCATATCTCCTCTTAACCATCTATCTGGCGCATTCGAAGGTTTTGAGTTTGTCCTTTGACTTTTCCATTTCGAGTTTTATTAATTTCATTCTGATTATATAAATATATATGTTATTTCCAAGGACATTTGATGTATATATTCTCACCCTTCGTATGATGGAAAAAGATTCGAAGTACTTTAAATTCCCGCTTTTCCTGTTGCTGACGGTCATTCAAGTTGTCTTCCTTTCTAATCTACAGAACTTACTCATAAATTACACGATGAGCTCTAATCGACTTTTTTTTTCTTCTTCGAACTTCAGTGATGCTAATTCCATCTTCGTGGTATAATGAATCACATTTCCTATATCATCACTCTTCTTTCTTTCTTTTCGGACGGTTTTAGCGCGTAGAAACTTCGTTTGAAATACCTTCTATTGTACTTTATCTTCTCTTTTCGGTATCCTTTTGGAATAATTGTAAGCACGAAGTGATTCTCATCAATGTTCTCTGCAGATTTGTCTTTTTTTTTGACAATTTCTGTATTTACGTATATGACTTAACTGTTAAAGACGATGAGAAAACATTGGTCTACAGCAAGTCTTCCAGTTTGTTCGAAATGTTGAATTTTAGCTCAAGCCTATTCCACTCTTCTGTTTAGAAATATGTTTTATGGTTTTTATCTTATTAGCATTAACCCGCTTATTGCCATATTTATCATGATTATTTCAACACAGTGATAACGGTTCTAACTGAAGAGCTTCCGGGATGTTTCATCCAACATAATTCAAATGGGAATTGTTTGGTTAAGATGATTTCTTCACCCCACTCTTTATCTTTTAATTTTTATAGTCTCACAAACGTCAGACACTAAATTATCAACTGCCTTGTCATTCTCCAGATTTCTATGGTTTCCGATTTGATTTCAAAATCATTTCTCTGTCTCTTCCACCAAATGTTACTTTATTTGTTTTTTATCGATGTGCTTTACTTGTTTTCGATGTCAACGTTTGTTCATCTCGATATAACACTCTCCTTGACTTTTCTTTTGTAAAATCTTCATTTGTGCTTTTGCTGACTTCATCGATTCCATTACAATACCCCCACACAGTTTCGTTGAATTTTGCTCTGAAATTCTTTTGCAGACCCATGCAAGAATGACGTCTGATTAGTTTTCATCTATCACATCCTTAGTTATTTTTGACAGTCTTTGATAATGTTATCATTTCTCATTTTTTTGTTGCCTATTACAAACCCTGCGCCTATTATCTTTAACCTTATTCTACAGATGCTATGCTGGCCATTGTCATCTTGTTGTTATAATGATGATTTTCTACTTCACAAGGAATTATGCCAAATAAGGGCAATTCCTATTTTCTGAAATTGAAATCCTCAACCGGTTTTTGCATCGGCCAGTCGTTTATGCAAACAATTCAAACTTTCACGCGGCAGCCAAAGGCTAGCCCCCTGCTATTTCCCTGATCATGCCTTCTTCCTTACGAGAATTCAATTTTTGAGATGGTTTTTACTGAGAACTTTTTACCCATCTGTTATGATTGCCATCGGTTTTTTGAAATTGAAATTGTAACAAGCAAGTTATGATGTAAGATTCATTCTAATCTTCCTCTAATGTCATTCGAGATACAAAACAGATTATGTATAATCCTATAGTTTACGGTTCCCTAGTTTCGTCTAAGTTTCATAGTGAGCGTGCACGCAACTGTTTGACTTTTCAAAAATCAACAATTTCTATCAGTGTTCTTGTTGTTGTCGAGTATTGGAATTCGATTCATATACGAATGGTAAACGAAAAACTATTCACACCTTGACTCTCATGAGTTTCCAATTCAAAAGACCAGAATGCGCTTGACTTCTACAGTTTCCTAAACGTATGCTAATTTGAATGTTAATTTCGTGCGCTCCAAACTCACGTAAAGTCATTTGATCGAAATGCACAGCAGCAAGCGAGAGCGAGCCAAATCGATTCATTCACTCATCCAACTCAAGAATCTAATAATGCTAAGATAGGTTAAATATTTTAAAGTTTTTCTTATCTATTTATTTATGCGTTTGCATGAAAGGCTTGCAATAGCTGTTGCATCTATTGGTACAGCTTATTGCGTATCGATCTTGTTTATAATCAAAACGCCTTTTCTGGGGAAATCTGTGCTTTAATCTTTAATATTTAATACTATGACTTTCGATTCATTCAGTTACTATATATTTTCTCATTGTGCCATCTAATTATCCATGTGTCTATATGCGTCCTAGAATTGATCGACCCTTTCTAAAGGAGGCTGTATATGCAGTGTTGTGAAGCACATGTCATGCCTAGAATATGTTGTTTGCAAACATTTCAATGTTTTCTAAAAGATTTACAGCTTCAACGATCATTTATCCAAATTCCTTATGTACTGTTTATGAATTCTTGCGTATTAATTCTCATATTAACTATCTTATATAACTCATAATTTTTTATTGAAAAGTATATTTTCTTTTTCTATTTTCCACATTTCAGACGTCGAGGTATCACAATACGCTTCTAGCAATACTTTTTTTTAAAGTATTCCTTAGGGAAGCCTGTTGTCAATTAACGAAGCTGTTAATTTCAATTTTCTAATTAGATAATTCATTTTTTGGAGATGTCTTTCTTCGGACTAAGGTTCACGCATATTGGTTAGTTTTTTTTCTTATAAACAGGGGAATCTCTCTTAGTTGCGAAGTGTTTCAAAATTGTTATGTTGCGCACTTCTTGATTTCTATTATGTTCATACCTCTTTTGGACACTTATTTGATCCAGATTCTGTTCTCTTTCCTCAATTCTGTATGCTCCGTTTGCTATGTACTATCTGTGACCCTTATATGAGGTTAACCTCTACTCATAGCAAGCTGCCTGATTTCTCTCACTCCCTCTGCTCGTAGTATACTCTCTCTCTCCATTCTCTCTATCTCTTAATGTTTCCTGGCTCTGGGGACCGTGAGGGGAAGACACACAGAGGCGGGGTTTTAGTCAGTCGTCTACATGTCGCGCTCGCCGCCGGCACGAACATGCTGTGTATGTTTCAGATATCCAAGAAGTAAGCCTCACCTTTTATAATCACCTGGCTAATTAGGGGGGAATGCGAGATGGAAACGAGAGCTGTGTACACATTTAATTTTTTCTTTCAGATGAAGATGAACGTGCTCAAAAAAACACATTCACGAAATGGATGAATTATCATCTTGAAGAGGTACGTTCAGAAATTCTTGATGCAGTTAGTTTTTTTTTTTCAGCATAGCTCATCTGGAAGAGTAAACGACTTGTATGAAGACATTAAAGATGGAGTACTACTTTGTCACTTGATTGAGGTTTTAACCGGTGAAGCACTGGTATGGTTTTGCAATAATTTATTTTCTTATTCTTTTCCTATTGACCTTTACGATTTTCTTCCTGAGTAATTCACTGAGACGTGCGTGTACTGTCGAATCAAATGAGATAATCTTTTGTACTCCTACAGAGATCTCGGCCTAATGCGTACTTACTGTTAGATTAGGAACAAACTTGCATAAATTGATTATTGTTTATGTTGAAGGAACGTTTATATGACTGACTTCCGCAACTTCCTAACTTTAGGGTTATAAATGCTTTTGACCGAGATCTGGGTGTTTTCTCATTGCGATGTACAATGTTTTGAAGTCTCGAGACCTATTGAAATGGCTGCAAACTTCCGGTTTTTAAAACATTGATATATAATATTGCATTGAATGCAAAATTATGTAGATATAACTTTGTTATCTTTTCAAAGAACTATCAATATGTTGTATGTGAAGCGTTTTTGTTCCTTATCTTTCATGCTGGCCTATTATTAACATTCTAAGTTTGGAGGTTTTGCTTAAGGAATTTATCGCTCAAAATTTAACTGAACCATTCGATATGGAAAGAGAATATGTAGTTTTTGACCAGTATTTGTATATGCATCCGATTAACATCAAGTATCCTCTTTATAAGTGAGCGCCTCTCCTCTTTTATCTGTATACCGTTTGCTCCTATCTAACTGGCAATGTAGTTGAAGGTTAGACTCATGCTACTGCCAGAGAGTAATGCAATGTTGGTTATGACTGTAGCAGAGAAAAATGAGTAAAATTATGTTGGCAATTCTTGTGGTTCTTGAACATCATGTTTCTTTTATGTTTCAATTCACTAGCCATAGTTACATTTTGCGAAAGAAACTAGATCTTGAGGCTCGTCGGTCTACAACGCTTCCACCTAGCTTTTCATTTTTGTTGTCCGATCTCCTAAGCAAATTAAAACAGAACATAGATATGACATTGATTCATCACCAAGTTTTAGCGAAATATTGGTCTGCTACATAAACAAAACTTCCTTATTCTCTAATGTTTGTTATATGTTGATTAGATCAACGGTTTCTGCTTCTTTCAAATATGAAGAAGAAACTTCAGTGCCACCTCATAAATTATTCTTTTTTGGAAGATAGATCTGTAAAGCAAAACTTGTATACAGAAGGCATCTATGTTGGCTTGACCTCGGGCAGGCAGATAAATAGTAGCGATATGAAAGTAGAATGGCAACTCGGATTATATACAGAGAAGCATATATTTTGATAATATTTTTAAAATTTGCTTTGAGTATGGAATCAATAAGTTACATTTCATTTTAATGGATGGTTAAGAGATAAAATGTCTCGTTGGTGTCATTTTATTTCATGTTGAATCATATGTTGACATAAAATCCTTGAGAAACGTATTTCATTAGGTCCCGCATTACATATCTGTAGCGAGGAGGCTAAAGATTCTATACTAAATAGAAAGAATAAACTAAGTTGATCCTTTTATGGAGACCTTTAGTGATGCAGAGACGGGCAGAGTTTGTTGGAGAATATTCTTATACCTTTCAATGAACTATTGTTTGGTTTGGCAATAAGAAGTTCTCTGTCTCTAACATGCAATACAACAGTATCAAGTTGCCTAAATAACCCATCAAATCATGGTTTTTCAAATGGTTTTAAAATTGACATATTTCAGCCAGTCAACAAAGCTCGGGTATCGAAACGGGTTCATCATATAGCTAATCTAACGACTGCTCTGGCTGTGCTAAGAAGACGTGGCTTGGAACTAATAAATAACAATCCTGTTGATATCGCAGATGGGAACCCACGAATTGTCCTTGGTCTCATTTGGCAAATTATACTCCATTTCCAGGTTCAATGCTTTTCTCCTGAACTTTTCGAAATATGTGTTTCTAGATAGAGGCAAATGTAGCGTTGTTACGAGAGTGGGGTTGGGGCGCGACAGCTTCTGTTCAAGCTTCAACATCTCGCCCCGTTACTCCTTGTTCGCCTTCAACTTCGAATATACCTTCAAGACCTGCTACTCCCAGCAGAAGTCCATTCAAACAACGATTAGCTTCACTCTTGCCCTCCTCCTCCTCATCACACACACCATCTAATAAAGATCCGTTGCGGGTGTCCATGAAACAATTCAAGTCTTCAGTTGAACAAGTTATGATTCGCTGGATAAATTCTGAAGTTGCTAGGTAGTTTATAGTCAACGTTTTCGTGTACTGTTTCTCCCGCTTCAGTAAAATTGGCGAAAAAGTAGAGAATATGGACAAAGCATGGAAAGATGGCGTTTTATTTAATGCACTGGTTCATAGGTAGTGTTGCTCCTTTTCGAAGGATTCAAAAACATAAACTTTTAGATGGAGGCCGGATGTGGTGGATATGAAACGAGTGAGACAGTCTCAACCTAGAGAGAATTTAGAAAATGCTTTCGAAATGGCTCATCGCCATTTAGGAATCAGAAAACTACTTGAAGTTGAACTTTTCTTAAAAAAATTATAATGGAATTATGATTAAGGTTGATGATGTACTCTGTGAAAAGCCAGATAAACGATCTATTATAACTTACGTTTCTCAATTTGTACATACTTTTGGAGAAAGGAAACCGATGGAAGATGAGCAACCCGAAACACACAGCAAGTTCATTGAATGGCTCAATGTTACCAGCATAATGGATCTGAGATATGAGCAACAACAAGTAGTTCTTATTCATTATTCTAGTTTCTACAGTAACATTTATTAGGTCTATTTCCGTGTCAGAAAGGAGTTCGTGGAATACAGAAGCTTGTACAATGCTATTATGAGTAGCCGCATGAACTTTACCGTACAGGAACTGACTGACATCGAGAGAAAGTTTAACAGAGTTTGAATTAAAGAAAAACAAAAATTAATGTCTTAGGTGGGATTGTATTCGTGCTCAGCTGGAAGCTGCCATTATACGAATAGAAAATTCTTTACCCGAACCCTTTGCTAGTCTATCACAATGGACTGCAGACAGTCAAGTTCTAATAACGCAACCTCTGGATCTGTCCACAGAAGATCCCGCGAAATGTGTCCTTCAGCTTCAAAAGTTGATGACAGAGCACACGGTTTTTTTTTCCATCTAATACTCATAAGTTTTCTGTTTTTAGAATCATTTCCTAGCATTAGAGAGCAATCGAGATGAGTTACGGAGTGCAATCGAGGTAATTTCTAATTTTTTTCGTGATTTTTATTATGATTTCTAGAAGGGAGGACTTGGCGGTAAACCTTTAGCACCAGAGTTTGTAGAACCTTTACGAGTTCGACTCAACACACTTGCTGAAGAAGCTCCTATTCGCTTAGCAACTATTCGAATTCTATTGTCTCACTATGTAATATTATCTTATCTAATGGATATCGACAGAAAGATGGATCAGTGGAGGTTTGTATTTCATTGCCAGTTGAGCGATCATGGAGGTTTTTAGCTGTGCTGACAGTATCGCTTTACTTTCTCGTTGGATAAAAGAGTATCAACAAGTTCATGCGGAAAATCCAAGAGCACGATGTGATAAATATCTTGAACATTTAAGGAAAACAATGGAAGTATCACCTGGTGAGCAGAAAGCATGTTGAACTGAAAGATCTTTTCCCTCTAGAAACAAAGCTCGACAGCAATACTTTACTACAGTCCAGTAGTAAGCGAATTTCTGCAACTTTGGACAAGTTCGATAGTCTGCATTCGGAGTTATTGACTTTGAAAACGTTATGGTGCCAATGGGAAGACGAAATAGTTCGACTAGAAGCTTTAGCAGATGAAGGAGTTCTTAACAATACAAACACATTATCAGGTAATATCATTAGATTGATTTATGAGTTTTTTTCTTATACAGACTTTTCAACTGATATTTGTTCGTTGGAATCAACAGCTGATGGCTTAGCCCCAATGCTATCAACGTCAGCACGAATTGCCGTGCAACATCGCATGGATAAACTGCGGAAAAAGGCTCTCCAGCTGAGCAGGGTCTGTTTCCGTTTGAACCTTTTACGCGGCAACTTTGTATTCTGCGGTCAGCGATAATATAACATTATCATGATGTGTTCTTTTAATTTCAAATTTATTGCATTACTTTTGAAATTAATGCGTTCTGACTGCGAACACATGATAGTGCATAGTTCTTAAAAAGTGATGGCACGGGACTGCGGAATGTTCGAATATGTGTTAAAAACATAAAGAACAATCCATCTTCTTATTCCAACTCTTTGATGTTACGGATCATTATTCATTGAATTGATAGCTTGGGGTTTCTAAAGAAATCTGTTAGCATGACGATGATGATAGAAGTTCATGGCAGAGAAAGTTATTTTTAATTTTACATGTTATCCAACTCGAATAATATCAGAAGATTGGCTCGTTGTTAACATATTTTTTCTCCACAGTCCCAAAGAAAAACACCGTCTCGATTAGAACTTTATATTGTTTTCTTACCGTTTTTTACAACCTTTCGGAGTGAGAAAAGGAAAGCTAGTGTTTGATTTTAATGAAAGAGAGAGATGGTATTGTGGAAACCTGTTTGTTTTTGATCATCCAATTTTGGTTGACCTGTACATGTTTCTAATAGAACTAATTTGCAATTTTTGGAAAAATGGCTGAGTTTTATAATGAATTATACCAAATTCGAAGTAGTAGCAAACCTTGGAGCCCCTTTTCTTATCAATTAAATCTAACTCGCTCATTTCCATCCGAAGATAATATGCCTATCTGTTTTTCTTGTTTGACGCTATTGACAAAAGACCGTCTGCCATTTGTATCGGAAAAAGTGAAATTTTTTTACGATGTTGGTTATCGGTAGATTCTATGTGTCACAATTCATTCACTGTTCTGAAAACTTTTTGCATGTCAAATGCTTCTCAGACTTAATGACATTAGTGTTGCGAAAACTCCTACTTCCAAGTGTTGTTCTGGATATTCTTAGAGAATGACATAGTATCCGTTGAGCAACAGTTGCGAATCATTCAGTTATATGACTACTCTTTGGGCAGAAGTTTTTTAAAATGAGGTTGACTTCGGGTAGAAGAGAAAGAGGTTGTTTAAATCATCAAAATTATCGAAAACTATATTGAGATAAAGCAAACCATATTTTACAGTTGTCTGTTGGAGCTCGGCTGGTTGTAGACATAGTTCCGTCAACTTCTCAAAATATAGAAAAACCGAATATAACAAATCTGGCTGAATTAGATGAAGAAGTTCTGAAACTTGAGGTAGACCAACTGTCGGTTTTTATGTAAAGTTTGCAAATTACAGATGGTCTTGCGTGCCAAACTTCATCCAGGACCGCATGAGTTACAAGAAGGATTTGGAAGACTTCAAACAAATAAGCGATTGAATTCATTGAAAGGAATAAGACCACGTTTAGTTGCAATCGAAGAATATATGGAACAAGCTAAACAATGGCTTAATAGCTCAGAAGATTACGTAAGTTCATTCTTTACTATTCAGTCTTATCTCATATTCGTGAAGGAGAGAGGGAAAGCCACCGATGTTTTGGATCAGCTTCAAAAAATGGTGGAGAGTTTACAAAATGGAAACGAAGCAGAGTTTGTGGATTGCCGCCAATATATTTTCTCTATTGAGAAGCTCTATTCTCTTATGAATAATGTTCCTCAATCTTCCTCAAGTTATGTAAGCAGTATCAATCCACCTGCAGACAAGGTATATAATGAATAAGACGAATTAGTCACTTCGAAAATAATTTTTAGGAACATGTTAAACAAGTAATCTCTCGAATGAAAGAAATTATAAGGAGACGTGAGAAGAATGAAGATGATGTTAGAACGTCAACTCAGGATATGGAAGAGTGTTCAATCATTGTCCAAGATTGGAACAGCAGACGTTTAGAAGAAATAAGAAGGATATGGAAACTCAAAAAACAAGAGTTTAACGAGTGGGAGAGCCTCATGGAAAGGTTGATGCAAATAATAGTCAACGTCGAGAAGGCGCAATTCGTGGATTCCAAAACATTGAGTGAATTGCGAGCCATGGAAGTATTATCCAAAAAATTCACATACACTGATTTGGGAGAAACTTCAAAGAATGCGTTGTTTGATTTCCGTAATCGCTTGATCGTATTACTTGAAGAACGACTGAATGGAATTCGAATGGTTGGCGAAGATGATTGTAGCGTGGCCCACTCTTTAGTAAAGGTCGGTTTTTTTGATAATTTTTCTTGGACGTTCGGAACGGTTGTTAATTCCTTATTAATTATTAGTTTTGTTTCGTCTATTCTCTTTTTTCACTTATTATGTCTTCTTCTTACTCTTTTTTCTATTTCTCTTTACTTGTTCAATCTTTTTCTTTCTTGTATTCTCTTTTCCTCTTAGTTCGGCTCTCTCTCTCTCTCTTTCTCTCTGGCTGAAATTGTGTCTTCCATCTTTCTCAGCGGTATCTTCTAATTTCATCATTGATGAACATATGTTCAAACTTTCGTGTGTATCTTGCAACCTTAAATGATTTGATGCGCTCACAAAATTTTCGGATACGAATGGTTTATTTGGCTACCATTGTTATCAAAACTTATTTCGGTCTAAATCAGAATTTCTTTTATTACACTTCCACACAAACATTGGCAATGTACAGAATAATTGTGTGCCTGGACAAGAGAAACTCGTGGGGGAGGGGCAGGCGCCGTTAACCTGCTTGCCAGCTCATTCCGTCGCACTCTCTTCTGTTCTTCATCTCATCTTTTCTGTATGCCAATCTTTCCCTCTCTGCAAAAGTGTATCTATCTCACATTTTCTCCCTGCGGTCGTCATCCTACCCACCTTAAGTCGTTTCAATTAGTCTATCGTTTTCCACCTTGTTTTCACGGTCGTTAAACTTCTTCAATATCTCTTACCCCTTATGTTCTGTGCGAAACTGTTTCAATTTGTTTATTTTTTTCTTATTTTGCTTCAAAAACTTTGTTCGGTCCATTTGTTCGCTTTTCACTTTTTCTGCATTCTGGAGAGATTAACAACGGATTTCGTGAGCGTTGTATTAATAACCATTTAAAATGTTGAAAAGTTTCGTTAAAACTTTTTTTTGACACAATTGTTTTGCAAAATGTTACTAATTCTTATCTGCGCTTATCAATTGTTTCGAAATGAGTTTCAATTTACCATTGGTGTCTAAATTGTCATTTGAATTGTTTTGTTACGTTTGATCGTCAATGATTTCCTACAATTCTCCTGCTCTGACAGTTCCTTTTTTCTCATTTTTCGTCCTTTTCGTTCGATTTTTCATCCAGTCACTTCAAACACGATAAACACTGACTAAGTCAATCTCTATCTCTTCCAGAAATCCTCACGGTTTCCACTGATGTGATGATTTTAAAACTGACTCGTCTAACACATGTCATTCTTGTCGTCGAAATTGCTTTTTCTAGTTTCAAACTAACTCATTCTCATAACTTGATACTCCATCCTGCTCCAGATCATTCTCATTTTGTTCCAAAGCGTGATTAATCGGATCTTTCTTTTGTTTGATCATTGCGATGAAAATACTCCCCCGATCCTTCTTCTAGAGCATCCTCATTGAATTTATCATTATTTCAACATGTTTCTAGTTGTTTCAATGTTTGATCTGTTTTTTTCTAGGAGGTAGGAGAGGAGTTGGTGCTTTATTGTAACCAACTTAACGATCGATACGAATACACACGACAAACGCTCGACAGCAAAATGGAGCTGTTTAAGCGTCTCCAGAATTTTTATGATGCTGTACGTTCCTTACGTAGTCAGAACAATCACTGGAATGTTATTACTCTAGCAGAGGTGAGTTACTTCACTTAAATCTTCTTGAACTACGCCCTCTTATCTAAGCCTATGAAGTGCAGGCTTTTTTTACTTGTGCATTGGTTGTAACACTATAGCAAAAAAACTCGATACACCTTAACGTATGTCTTAGTTGACCTTTTCAATTATTTCTCGAAGACTACTGATTTTGCCTTTTTGTATTGATCAATCCATTTATTTTCCCTTCTATGTCATGTTTGTATGCAAGGTCGTTGGGGTCCCATGCCTTTTTTTGTCGGAACAAAAAAAAACTTTAAACTGCTCAGAAATAAGGTGCCATAGAAAATATTTCTCTCAACTGAACGTTTTTTGAATGATGATGTAAGAGAAATTCATTCCAAAAAACCTATTTGATTAGTTACTGACTATGTCATCAAACATCTTAGAGTATGTATAGACATACTTCCGTTAATTCAAATAGTAGCTCATCAATCTTTTGATTAATTATTGTTTCTATATATGGCTTACGTACTTTGATTCATACAATTATATACAAAGAAAGTTTAGTTCTATCACGATTAAGATCTTAGACTGATATGCGTTGGATAGATAATCAGTCAGAATGACCTAACTTGACAAATAGCTTTCGTTAAATGATAGATGTGTTTTCAAATTGTTTTCAACAGTATGACTATTTCATTACTCTTTGATTGTTTTTAGGTTCCTTCTGTATGCTCAGAACTCGAGGTGCTGATCGAGAGATGTACGACAGAATGGAAGAACGATGCAGAAAAACTGAGAGCCGAAGTAGTTGCTATTCAAGGCAGCTTTTTCCAACTTGAATTTGACCGTGTAAACGAAAAGTGAGTAAATCTGTTTTTAAAAATTGTTTAAGAAACAACTTTAGGCTCAACATGCTTATGGTAGAATTGAATAAGCTTCACTCTCTAATGTTACGACGCCAAGAATTCCTCACAATTACTACGGAATTTATTCAGTTTACCGACTCCTCTCTCGATGTTAGTCAACATGCTACCTCCAGCGAACAGTCCACAGATATGCAGGGCATAGTAATTTAATTTTTCTATTTTCCTTCTTTATCATCTCGATTAGGTTACTGATATTTGTGCAAGATTAGAAGAGAAAGCTAGATGTCTTCGTGATTTGAGTGAAAATGCGGAAATGACGATCACTGACTTCTCGGCTGGTGCTATCATCAGACATTTCAGAAAGCGACAGTTAGGCGAGGTATGTAGCTATTCATCTTCTAAATTCAAACATAATCTAGGAGGCTGAGCCGTCGTTCGATCTGCTTGCACAAAAACTGGAAGAACTTATCGGGAAGAAACTAGTGGTTACAGAGAATACAAACGATTGTATTGCTAATATCCTACAGCTGAAGGAGATAGCGGAAAACGAGGAAAAACTCATTGAGGAAATGAAGGATGTTCAAAAAACGGAAAAAGAGGAAAATAGATTCAAAGTGTTATATGCTGGATTCATGAAGCACCGAGAACAGAGAGAGAAAGACACTGTACACCTTATTCTACAATACTTGGAATATCTGAATTTGAAGTTCCGAGAGTATGAAGACGATATTGGAAACATGATTGATCACAGTCTGACGGAAGAGCTAGGAATAGTAAACGAATCGCTGTGGAATCAGTGGAAGAACGATGTCACCGATTTTGAAAAAATTGTTGGACAATCCAACAGAAACAAATTCCGACCTGAATTCACCGATCTTCAAAGAAAATTAGTCTCCCTTGATAGCCGAATTGCCCAGCATTTGAATCAATCATCTAAACTCAAGAAACAGAGTGAAAAACTGGCAAAAAAGATTTCTCTGTTCCAAGTATGGCTTGATACCATGGAAAGAGATATCTGCACCGTAGAGCAAATCTCCTCTGAAACAGAACGTGTTACGCAGCTCACGCACTTGTATAGAATCTGCCTGAGCTATCAACGACTAGTGCATCACCTCGAGAGAATCACTTTCCAAAACAATGATCATATTATTCAACTAATTCAACGGTACAACCAGCTTTTGAATAAGTTGAGATCATACGATTTACCGGAAGCTGAAGGAATTCCTCTTCATGTTCCTTCGGCAGTGCAAGGCTTTTCACAATCTCAAGTTTGTGTTTTTCTGTTTTCTTTCACTTAGTTTGATTTTATAGATTTCCATCAGCTCTTTAGCTTCTTCTGAGAATGAGAGGCCTGAGTCGGTTATGTCTGTGACGTCCAGCTTGGACGAACCAACACATCCTCAAGATGTCATAAGAAAAAAAGTATCACGTCTCTTGAGAAACATGATGGAATCCTACAGTTTCGGGGCCAAGCCTCTTTCAATTGTTGAAGAAGACCTTCTACAGCTCCGAGTCAGTGATTTTCATATTTCTTTTCGTACAACTTGTATTAACAGGAGCTCGAAAAAGAGGTGACTGGTGCAATATCTGTTCTATTGCAAGGCGATGGGGAACCAGTAAATGAAGGTGTTAAACATCGTTTACTATTCTTGAATCAACAGATAAAGGTGAGAAAGTGCCATAGATTCTTTGACATATGTGACATCTGTAGGACTTTTCACATAAACTTGAGAAGGAAGTAGAGGACGAAAAGGGCTTATCTGCAAAGCAGACTGAAATAATGGATGAATTGACGAAACTAGAGGATCGTGTCAAAAACAGAGCCAACATAGACTTCACTAACGAGCTGGATCATTTAGAAATGCAAATGGATATGCTCAAGGTTAGTAATGAGAATAATTCTTCTGATAATGTTTATGTCATTCAGGTCATTTCTAACCAACCTCGCCAATACGTTGAATGCGAATTCATCGATTCTTCGAGCCGTGAAAGCTCACCATCCGAACGAAGCAAACGTAGAAAGAAAGTGCTCGTTATGGTTACAAATACAGTTACTACCATTATTCAAGTAGTAGAAGAACGTATGCTGACTATTGAATCTTCTGTACAACCCCCAGCTATTCAAGAAAAAATACGCAATGTGAAGGTAATTACAAAATGTAACTACAACATGTATATATATTATCTTGTAGCACAACTTGAAGTTATTGGACAAGGAAAGCATAACACTCTCTGAAGAACAGGTATTTCAAGCTTATGATCCAAACTTATGAATACTCCTGTTTAGCCTGAGTTATCGTCTATAGAAAATTCAGCTGTTCTCAACGAAATTGAACATATTCGTGAGAATATTGCAAAGGCTAGCGAGATTGGGTGTGATGATACATCATCACCTCTTGATCTTGCTACAGCTGCTGACTCCCTGAAAGAAACCGAAAACCGCCTGGATATATTACGAAACGAACTTGAGAACTGTGAAGATAATTCGAATTTGGATGCTGTCAGTGCCGTCGTAGAAGAACTGAATGCAGTTCAAGCTAGTATAGATGACAGGTTAGACGAAGAGGTCAGTTTAACTGATAATGTTAAAATGATAATAAATAATATCCAGCACGACACACCGCAGGACTTACTAGAAGCGGAGAGCCTCATATCAAGACAGGACGAAGTCGTTCAGCAATTGCAACAGCTATTGGAAGAGTCTGATTCTTTGGATCGAGAAATCAGCTCGAATGTAGAGAATCTAGAGGCAGAGTACCCCATCATGAACTCGGAAAACGTTTCAATCAAACTTGATGAAATTCGTACCGTTTTGGAAAGAACAGAAATAGAAAGTGAATCCACAGAGAAGACGAAGGAAGCTTTGTGTGAAGCATTGAACACTATCAGTGAACAGCAGAATGAACTTTATCTACTGAAGGATGTCGTTCACATAATGAACGATATTGACCTCTTGGACAAAATATCCGAAATCGATGAATATGGACGCTGTATACACGAGTCCATCAATGATCAAATAGCATCTATCGCAGAGCATAGCCCTCAACCGAATATAGAAGAAATTAAACAAATAATCACTGAAATTTCTGATTCCATCTCTCGGGCTTCACAGATACCGGAAGAAACCAAAACATCTGAAGCTATCCGTGAAGTGTTGGACGATTTAGCATATAAAGAACCGTTGTTATTCAAACTGAAGGATATACTTGATAACATGAATACCACCGACCAACATGTGAAGGAAATTCAGACTGAACTTATCGACAATGTCTCCAACATTGAAGAAGAATGGAGAGCTGTTCAGATGTCACTGCAGGACAAACTCGATTCTGTTGATCAATTCAACAGCGCAAGCGCCGAATTGAAGACAGAGCTTCTCGGTATCCAGAACACAATACCGAATATGACTTCGGAAATGCATGAAAGTACTGTGATTCAGATCGAAAATCTCTTCGAGAAACTGAACGATCTACAAGAAACTGCAAAGGATTGTGTTGCCTCGGAGGATTACCTCGACCGAGCTGAAGAACTTCGCAAGCAACTAATAGAAGTGAATCAAACTCTCAATGCAAGCATAGAGCGAACGAACGCACTCGATGAGATGCTTACAACCATAGAAAATGTGAAAAATCTCATAGACCAACCGGAAAACCAGGACTTCAGTCTTGAAAAGTACGATATCCTTATTGAGGAGTTACCCGTAGACCGTAGGAATGAACTTCGCCACAAGCTTGATGAAGCCAAGGACGCTAAGAAGAAACATGAAGAAGCTGTTAAGCAAGCTCAAAAGGAATTAGCTGATGTTA